GAATAGTTTCAGAGGTTCATTGACAGAAACAATATTAAATGCTATGAATCTTTAATGCTATTGATAGAGATAGAATTCCCATATGAAAATAAGAGATTCTTTAATAAAATTAAACATCAGGGTTAATTTATTATTAATAATACTGTTTTAACTTGCTGCTTGATTCCTCTATAATTTATTCGGAGTAGGGAAAAAGGCAGTTATCTCTCTTAGTTGTTTTGGAATGATTAAGGATGAATATTTAAGTGGTTTCCCCCTGTACTTTGGTATTTAGTGGTTATATCCCCGTACTTTGGTGTTCAGTGGTTATATAAGAGTTTTGTGACATACTGGAACACTACATGATGGTGTAGCTGAGCTGCATAAATATGAAGGTTATAGAATTGGAAAAACACATACTTTAACTCTGGACTCCTGGGTCAGCGTAAAACCTCACCTCAGTTTACCTGATGTGTTAAGCATATTTTCAGATACATTTTTAGGCATACACACTTAAATACTTTTGGAGTTTTTTTTTTTTAATCTATCTTGAGGATGGATGTTTTTAAGCACGGTGATTTACAATATCGATACTGATCACGTTCCATACACCGTGTTACGACACCACACCCTCCACCAGTGCCTACTTCCTGTCTTGAGGATTATGAGGTCACACCGTTGGTCTCAAAGCTGAGTGGATTCTTCAAACCTTCAGGGCCATCCCCCATCCCTTGCTATGTTTAACTGCCCTGGTGAGCTTTGGCCCCAACGTGGGTGTGGTGTTGGAGTATATGCTTGAAACCCTCCCAGTGACTCTTAGAAAAGCCTAAGGCACTGTAGACACAGCAAAATTTGAAGGGGGTTAAACAATTCCAGGAAGGAAAATTCTAACTTGAATTTTCAATGAACTCAGTACTACCCTGATAACTCTCTGAAATTCTTTCCAGTGTAGTATTAATACAAGGCAGTGCTTTGTGATTTTTGTAAGATATGGGTCATGATTTTGATTATCCAATCTATAGTGAAGTTACGGGAGATGAAGCTGAACTCCTGGGTACTGTTTAGAACATTCAAGGGCTGGAGAGAGAATGCAGGGAGTAAGCCGCCTGCCTTAATATGGACAACCCTTGCTCAATCCCCGGTACCCCACATGGACCCCAGAGCCCTGCCAGGAGTGACCCGTAAGCACAGAGCCTGGAGTAAACCCTGAGCACTGCCAGGTGTGGCCCCCTAAACTGGGGGGAAAATGCTAAATATTTAGCCAAAGCCACAGAACCAAACCACAAAAAAAGTTTCCATTTTCTTTACTATGCACTAGCCATTCTAGAAATCTGCTTGTCGGTGTTAGTTTGTATACCGTGTGTAAGAATATTGCATTTCTTTTGTAGCCACGCCATGAATATTTTAATGTCCCTGTGTACTAAATGACTACTCATCGCCCATGCAGAATTTCACGAGGAAATAGAGCTGATACACTTATGAAAAGAAAATATCCTCAGCTTGGTGACTGGTTATCTTCTAATAATAGAATCAATAACCTGTAGCATTGTAATTTTTCCTGTTCTCATTCTTTTTGGTTTTATTTTCATTCTCTATGTGTTCTTAATACAGTTTGTTCCTGCTTGCAGATGATTTCATTTTCTTCTTGAAAAAAGTGACCTATGAATGTTTGACACGTGTCATCATTTATGAACTATCATTTACGAACTCTCTGTGATAAATCTTGAAAGAGGAAAAACCGAGTTGTCTTTAATGTGTTTACCAAAGAAAATACAACTGAAATGTTAGGTTGCAAAAAGCAGTGCCATAATATATAGCATGGTTTGTTTTTCAATGTTGGGTGGAGGGAATGAAACTCTACTTAGTATGGTGTTATTACTGTCTATATGAACTAATATGTATAAAGGGTACTTGGAAATAATATAAGAAAATAACATCTGTACTATTATATAATATTTAAATATTCACTGTCCTTAATAATTCATAACATCACATTTATGGCATTATATTTGCATTATACAATATTAAACAATCCCTTTAAGAAGTCTCAGAAAAGTATCAGAAATATGTCCACCATATCTCATCTTCAGTCTATAGTTCAATAGTAATCAACCATTTCAAAGTATTAAGACTGAGCTTGTATAGTTAAGATGATAAGATTTGGTTTATGTAGAAATATTGTTATGGTTCTTATGATATAAAAAGCCTTAAATACTGAATATATATTTCTGAATAGTAAAACCTTTGATATCGGTCATTATCATACTCTCAAAATACAGTATATTTTATTGTACGAGGAAAAGTAACAAATCATTATGTACACCCGGAGAGTTTAAAGCCCGAGTCTAATAAGTTACCATCAATAAATACAAAAGATGCTTAAACTAGTTTGCCACTAAGAGAAGGCCTGTAACAGCACACACTAGGACAAGAAGGCATATTGCGTATTTCCATCCTTTTCATTCTCACTGTTCTACATGGCATTTCAAGCACCTGGATAAGCTATCAAATGAGGATCCATTGAGGGCATTTGAGAACATTGGTCTTTTGTTTCCATTTTTCCCTCCATCCTGCTCCCTGCCCCGCAATATGTTATTCATCCGGTTTGAAGACTGCAGAAATATGCCCTGTGTCATGCCTGTTTGCTTTGAATGTCCTGTGCTGTAACAAAAAGTTGCTTCTTTTGTTATCTGTATACAGCTGCTTGCTTTAAATTGATAGATTCTGAAATCGCTTTCCTTGCATGTCTAAAATAAAAGCATTGCATGTACTTTGATGTGAATGACTATTTTCTTCCCCCACTCTTTTGAAGTGTGTACTTTATGTTTTATCTTTCTAGATAATTCTTTAAAATTATGGTTTAAAAATAACAGATTGACCAGCTTAACCATTTTCAAGTATACCATTCAGGAAAGTATATTCACATTGTCATGCAACAAATCTCTCACAGCCTTAGCTTGCAAACTAAACTTGGTACCCAGTGAGCAACACCCCCCCTCGGCCATTAGTAACTACCATTGTACTTTTTCCATGAATTTGACCACTTTAAAGTCACAGCTTTTCTAAGTAATTCTGAGCCACACTTGCAATATGAACATGTAAAAAATTATATTTTATAATCAATTCATACACTTGTACTATTTGTACAATATCTAATAAAATGTGTAAATGAGTCTTTGAAACAAGGCTTTTTAGAAGGCCCATGAGAAAGACACATAATTTGAGAAATTAAGGTCTTTTAGAACGATGGAATTTAAACAATGCATTTGATAAGCAACATGATTCTCTGCACGAAATATTGTATGCAACTGCAGTCATAGAGCACAGAGGAAATTGGGCCAGCTCCAGGGAATAGATGAGACATGGATGAGCTAAGAATGTTAAATGATATCATTTAATGCAGGCATCCTTGACTGAAAACATTAACGTTTATTTGAGTTTTAAAATCATTTAACATTACATGGAAATAATTACATTAAAATTGTTTCCTTCATTTAACATGTTACTGAGATGTGTGTACTTTCAGTGTATGTAGTGCTTAAAGCTAAGTAGTATTAGTGAAAGCCTGACATCACTCCTGGAGTGGTGCATCGTTTCCTTTAGACTTCCCTTAAACCCTTTTTATTATGGGGCCAGGGAGATAATTTTTTTTTAAAAAAAAGGCTGTGGCACATGCTTTACATGAGAGAACCCCCAGTACTGGATAGTTCCCCCAAGCCCTGCAGGAAACAGCCCCAAGTACCCTGCCAGGAGTATCCCCTAAGCATTACTAAGTCTAACAAAAAGCAAATAATGTTCATCACGAAAACTCAAGATACGTGAATAGAATCATCTAAGGAAACCTTATGTATGCATCATCACTTGTTTCAAGTGTCAGTAACCATTCACTCATGTACTTGTTTCATTGGCTCCACCCTCATCTTTGCCTCTATTGGAGAGCAAGCCCTACACAGCTATCCTGTCATTTCATCTTTAACGCTTCAGTATGCATCTGTAAGGGACAGGCCCCGCCCCCTTCAAACTAATGACTGTTCCTAATATCTTATTCCTGGTTCACTTTTTCTGTTATCTGACAGTGCATTTTTGTAGTCAGTTTGTTAGAATCACAGGCTGAATGTTTTTTTTTCAAAAATATCATTTGTTTATTATCTTCCACATTTAGAGCTGTAGTTTGCCTAAGTGCAATCTGGTGGTAGGGCAAGAGTGCTTGATGGGTTAGAAGACTGTCTTTTTAATGCCTATTTTTGATCAGGGATGTAACTCCGTGGTAGAGCACTTGCTTTGTATATCTAAGGCCCTGGGTAACATCTCTGGCACGACTGCGGGGGTGGGGGTGGGGGAAGAGAAGACCTTCCCACCAAAAGCAGGTCTTGCTAATATTTAAATACAAAACACAAAATATGTCATCAAGGGCCAGAGAGACAGTACAGTGGGTAAGGCACTTGCTTGCCTTGCAAGTAAGTGATCAATCTGGGTTCGATCCCTGGCATCCCATGTGGTCTCCCAAGCACTGCCAGGAGGGATTCCTGGCTGCAGAGCCAGGAGTAACCCCTGGACATTGCAGGGTGTGGCCCCAAAGCAAACAAACAATCAGACCCCATCATATTAAATTTCTATGATTGGCTTACAGTGCTTTATTCGGCACTAAATACCAAATACCTTCAAATTGCTGTTGCATAACAATATCAAGCTAATATTTTGTGAGCGTTTTCAGTAAATCAGGCACTGAGCCATCGCGATCTCAACACATAAAAGGTAAGTACCGTATTTCTTTCCACTTTAAGGAAACAGATCATTGAGTTTAAGTGTTTTACTTAAAATGATCCCATATGGCACTTTACATATAATTAAATTAATATGAATTTATGACTTAATATAATTTTTATTTTCCTTGCTTTGTGCTGTACCACAATTAGGATGCAAAAGTAAGTGTATTATTGGATACTGAAAACAGTAATTCATAATCTTGTTCTTATTTCAATTTCTCCTAATTGTCTTTAAAAATGCCTTTTTATAATCAGTTTGAACCAGATTCCAAACAAGTCTCCATCCCAGCACTGTTTCCCTCCATAGGTAATATGCCTTTGTTGTTTATTTTTTCGATCACACCTGGCAGGGGTCACTCCTGGTGGTGCTCGGGTGATCATGAGGTGCCAGGAATCAAATCTGGGCCTCCAGCAGGCCAAGCATGCGCTCAACCCATTGTGCTCTCTCTCTGCCCGTGTTAGGATGTCTTTTAATCCGATCGTTGCTAGAGATACCTGACATCTCAGCTACCTTTCAAACCTTGCAATGTGCCAAGTCAACCTTTGGGAGCTTTGAAAATTTTTTTTTGCAATTCTGCTTGCTTTGTTTCCCTTTGACATTTCGAAAAGAGTATTTCAGGGCGAGAGAGAGAGAGTCCAGGAGCTAAGTCGCTTGCCTTGCATGTGGCTAGACCGTGGTTTGATCTCCAGCACCACATCTGTTCTCCTGAGCACCGCCAGGGGTTGCTCCTGAGCACAGAGCCAGGAGTAGCCCCTGAGCATTGCTGGGTGTGGCCCCAAAACAAAAATATATGCAATAGTTTAAATTAACTAAGAGTATTGTTACATAAGACAAAAATACCTTTGTTCCAGAGCATTCTTTTGTGTATGTATGGTGCCTCTGGTTGCCCCGAGGCTGACTGGGAAGGTGATTATTTCTGAAGCTCTGCTGCCGGAGATAGTTAAGTAAAAACTGAGTAAGAGCTCAGAGGAAAAGACATTTCAAATACAAAAGCCCCCAAAGAGGGCATGGACACCAAAATTAAGAACTCAGGGTTTTTCCCCCGCGCTTTTTTGTTTTAGGGGACACTTGGAGTTTGACAATGAGGGATCTTTCCCGTAGATAATTTGGTGTCAGTAGTTTTCCTGAATCACCAGTGGGGTTGGCCTCAGTTTGACAGCTTTTTGTTTTACAGCAAAAGTGCCCAGGGATGTGGGTAGGTAAATCAGCAGGTATTTCATGCATGATAAAATTATCCCCCAGTGGTCTCTGATTTTGGGGGGCGCAAAACCCTAAGTAGCCTGGGCTCTCAGTGTAGAATGTGTCCCCACCACTGAACTGCTTGCTTTCCTCTTCGGAACTTGCACGGCCTTTCATGTCAGTTTCGCATCCTTAAGCTTCCTGGATCTGCTCATCACGTCCCGTTTTCCTTCCACAGGAAGCTGAAACTCCGCGTAGTGTTCTTGAAGAAATTGGACTGACATAAGCCTCCTCCCCTGTTGACGACTTCCTGTGGCATTTCACACTGTAGATGGTCACTGCCTTCATGTTCATGTTAGCTAATGGTGTAAGATGACGTCTTGTCAGTATTACTGTTTTTGCTAAGCTGCTTCATTCAGGCCTACACAATTTTTTTAAAGGAACTTTGGGTAATGAAGTGGTAACTTTAAGGGAATTAATATGAATTACAATAATGCAGAAAAAGTACCTTTTTTTGGATATTTTCAAGTTTATAGGCCCGTTTCCCTTATTTTGATTATGCATATGAAACTGACACAATCAGGAAATATACATTTATTATTAACCACTGTCTTTTAGCAAAGGAAACAGTTAAATTATGCAAAATCTGGTTTTATGAAACCAAAGACTAGTGTAGTACTTCAGTATACGTGCAAATAAAGGGAATTACAATATCACATATAGAATGAAAATTTAACTCTTGACACATCAAATGTACTCCAAATTTATACCAAAGACCCTTATTAGAAGCTTATTACAAACCTTAAAACAAAGGGAACACACAAATGACAAAATTGGAACGATGCTCTTTTAGCCCCAAAGATTTCTTAGACATTCGGACCCAGGGACAATGAATAGAGCTCAACCGTTTCATACTATGGCACACGTTCATTTTTAAGGTCGAGGAGTGTCTGACTCCTGAGAGAAATGGAAAACTATCGTATGGCAAAATGTGTTCTTTTCTTCACCAAGTGTTACATTAAGTCTTGGTTAAAGCTATTAAAGTTAAAGCTTTTCTGGGGTGCTAGTTACTGCCACGTTAATTTTGCTTCCCTCCACTTAGAAGTGCTGCCAATGCTAAGGCAGTTTTCTTCCCTTCCGTGACACTGCCCAGTATCAAAAGTATTATAAAAATAAAAAGGGACACCGCCTTTCATATAAAAGGGAGAGCCGAATGAGGTAAAATGACATTAGTGGGCCCGATACTTTCAAAGCTGTCAAATCGTTTTAGTGTCACTTTCATGTATCTTGAATCTGTGGAAACACGTTTTCATCATTGCCATTTCACTTGTACCTGCTGGGCTGGATTAAGCTTCATTGTGATTCTGACCAACATTTAGGCCATGGGAACTCTGTCTTATCCCATCACCCGTTAGCTGTTGTAAAATGCCCAACACATACCACTGTAGTGTGCTTTTCTCTTTCCAAAACTGACCCAGTGTGGAAAGCTGCAGAGAGTTTTGAGTTTTTGTTTAGTAGAATGCTGAAAATAAACCTCCATGTGAATGTGGTGGTTGTTAAAAGCACATACAAGATAAATGATGCAAGATTTAAGGGATGTTCATGTACTTCAGGCTCATAAAAAATAATGTGGATTCCATGCTACTGAGAGCTTATCTATACATTTATTTTCAATCAATAAATGCCGCTTTTAAAACCCTGAAGCATTTGACTTTTCTATTCTTTTGATGTTACTTGCTAATCACAGGCACTCTTAATCAACTGGATCCCCACCCTCATGAATGAGAGGTGCTGGAAAACGCCCCCACATGAACTGATCTTTGCAAATGACGGCATGATAGAAGCAGCAAATCAAATCCTTGGTTGTGATAGTTAAGGAGTCTCCTGTTCATCACAAATGGGAAATGCTGCATACTAAAGCTAGGATATCTAAGACTGAGAAATCTACAATAAAATTAAGCTGTTTACCTGAGAGCCCGAGAACAAAGACTGGATAAAGAATGCTACATCTATGGAAAGTATCATGCTAAGCGAAATGAGCCAGAAAGAGAGGGATAGACATAGAAAGATTGCATTCATCTGGGGGACATAAAGTAACAAAATAGGAGATTAATACCCAAGAATAGCCGAGATCCGTACCAGGAGGATTACTCCATGGCTTAGAGGCCAGCCGGGCATTCTAGGGGAAAGGGCAGCTCAGATAGAGAAGGGAGCACCAAATAAAGGGTGTTTGGAGGATCCTCCCAGGATGAGAGATGCATGTTGAAAGTAGACTATGGACTGAACATGATTGCCACTCAATGCCTCTTTTGCAGACCACAACACCCAAAAGAAGAGAGAAAACAAAAGGGAATGCCCTGCCACAGAGCCAGGGTGGGATGGGGGGATGGGGGTGGGAGGGATACTGGGATTCATGGTGGTGGAAAATGGGCACTGGCGGAGGGATGGGTATTTGATCATTGTATAATCGAAACCCAAGCACAAAAATTTGTAAGTCTACAACTGTACCTCATGGTGTTTCACTAATAAAAATTTAAAAAAGAAGAATGGTACATCTATCTACACAATGGAATACTATGCAGCCGTTAGGAAAAATGAAATTATGAAATCTGCTTGTCAATGGATGGACATGGAGAGTATCATGCTGAGTAAAATGAATCACAAGGAGAGGGACAGATAATAGAATGACTGTACTCATTTGGGACATAAAAAACAGTATGAGACTAATATACAAGGCCAGATAAAACAGGGGCCAGCAGGACTGGTCAATGGTTGGAAGTTTGCCACAATGTGTGAGGGGCAAAGGAAGTTAGGATAGAGAAGGGACCAGTATGGCAATAATAGAACTGATCTGGACAAAAACTGAGTGTTGAAAGTAGGTAAAGGGATATACATGATCATCTTTCAGGATCTGTATTGCAAACCATAAAGCAAAGGCCCTCCCGTTGATCATCGATTTGCTCGAGCGGGCCCAGTAACGTCTCCATTGGAGACTTTGTTGTTACTGTGTCTGGCATATCCAATACTCTCGGTAGCTTGCCGGGCTCTCCGAGAGGGGCGGAGGAATCGAACTCGGGTCTGCCATGTTGGCTGCGTGCAAGGCAAACGCCCTACCGCTGTGCTATTGCTCCAGCCGGACATTATGCAAACCATAATGTCCAAAAAGCAGGAGTGGGGGAGAGAGATACCTGCCATAGAGTCAGGTGGGAGGGAAACTGGGGACATTGGTGGTGGGAAATGTATATGGTAAAGGGATTGGTGTTGAAACATATAACTAAAACCCAATCATGGACAACCTTTTAACTGTGATTCAATAAAAACAATTTTTTAATTAAAATTAAGTTGCTAGTCTGAAATAAATACCCAACTCGACTGATGAATGAGTAAGTTGTGCTGCATATATACAATAGAATATGCAGTTATAAGGTGAAATAATGCAGTTCACTATAAACTGGGCCAAAATGGAGGGCATCATGTTTAGCAAAGTAAGGAGAAAGCCAAATATTTCATGATATCACTCATCCACAGTATATGGAGAACAAAGACAAAAGAATGGAGAGTATCAAATGACAAATGCTTGTCCCTGGATTACAGGACTAAAGATGCTGAGTAAGGGGGAGAGAGAGGAGGAAGAATGAGGCAGACAGAGGACAACATAAGGCCACTGGAGGTTCTTGGTCACTTTGCTGGTAGTGGGGTAACCGTGTATCAAAACCAAACATATTAAGACTAGACATGACCCAAACTTCAATCATTAAAAAATTTCTTAAAGAGACTTAAGGAGGTGGGCAGTGGGAGAGGATCTGGACACTGGTGTGGATTCTGAACACCATCTGCTGGAAACAACATTATTATAAGCCACAGTGCTAAAGACAAAATTGGAAGGGAAAAAACTACCTGTAGGCTTAAAGAGCCTCCAACACAGCTACGAACTTGCCAGTAGTTTTAAAAACGCTGCTGCTCTCCGTATCACATTGCCCATTGGCACATGAGGGAAATGTCACCAATTTCTCTTAATTATCTTGAGCACAAGCTGGTGTTTATCTAATTTTTTCCTCCAGGATCTATTAAGATGATTCATCTTTGAATATCGTATTTAATTGAGAATATCTTGGCTGTATTTAGTAAAGTACTGAAAAATATTTAATTTAGTGGTACTTGTTCAGCATTAGTGAATGTAGTAATCACAAAAATTTCGGTCTTTTCAAGGGTAAAATAGGCAATTAAAATCTAGAGTAAATCAATTTTCAAAGTGAAATGTATTTTGGACCTTTATATGACTACAGATTAAAGGGCTCTTATTTTCAGTGGCTGTCACTGAGAAGTTCCAATCTTGAAGACTTTTTCCAATCTCATTTATTAGCTTGGTTTTGTGCATCTCTAAGTTCTTATTTCTAAACTGCAAAGTGCCAAATGTCACATACAATGAAATTTAAGATACCTGGTATATTTTTGGGAAGGAGGCTACAAGGAAAGTAAAAACTTTATGAAGATGTATGAGAGCACCTTTTCTTTTTTATGATCTGGAATATAAGGATGATACTGTAAATTAAGCCTCTGACGGAAAGTTCTCTGGCCAGTTTTCTGATTTCTTTTTCCCAGAAATACTTTAACATTAATCATCTTCAATAGCAATGACCTAAAAATGACCTAAGGTAAGCTTTCTTCATAAATAACGTCAAAACTATAAAAACTATAAACATGCTAATGGACCTTCCTGTGGATATGGGGCTGAAGAGAAAGAAATGGACTCTGCCCTTTAGTGCTTTAAAATAGAGAAAGAGAGTCTTAAAGTTGTTTAACTATCGCATGTAGAAAAATCCAATAGATGCAAGGACAAGCAATTTTAATGGAAGAGCCAAATGTAATGGCCATTCTATGCAGAAAAGGTTTGACTTTGGAGAAATAAACAAACATAAAATCCACCAAACAGCAAATAACCTGGTGGTGTCACTGTCAACGTCCTCCCATTGTTCATCGATTTGCTCGAGCGGGCCCAGTAACGTCTCCATTGTGAGATTTGTTGTTACTGTGTTTGGCACATCAAATACGTCACGGGGATCTTGCCAGGCTCTCCAAGAGGGGCAGAGGAATCAAACTCGGGTCGGCGGTGTTGGCTGCATGCAAGGCAAACGCCCTACCCACTGTGCTATCGCTCCAGCCCACCTGGTAGTGTGGGAATAGGAAACTTTGGGGTCAATAGAACTGTTTCAATTCTTCCAGGAGGCGATTTGAAATTCTTCACTATTCACAGTTCAAAGGAATTTTTCCTAAAGAACTGTGTTGTGTGGAAGCACTGAAAGTTCTTAATTCACCACACGGTGGTTCGTGGCATAGGAATCTTGAACAATGAAAAATTAGAATGACAAAGGACCAACAATAGGGCTATAGATGGTTGGATAAATGTGAGTAAAAATAACAGTAAGAATCGGGCTTGCTCAGAGGAAGAGAGCCAGATACAAAACGATCTCACTCATAGTGGGATGTAAAGAAACGTAAGAAGACACCCGGAGAGTCAGTCTATGGGACCGAACTCACCAAGGGGTGAAGAGGGTGGGCCAGGACCTTGAGACATTAGCCAGGGGACACCGACAGTCTCGTTGCAACACTGTATGCCTGAAACTTTATTCGTTGTGTAAATCATGGTGCCTAAAGAAAAAAGGATTTTAAAGAATAAGGCTTGCAGCATCCTAAGTGAATAAAAGTGCGTGGTAGATTTACAGAACGGAAACTCTGAAAAATGAAACCCTGCTTTTTGCTACAACACAGACGAAGCTGGAGGGGATCATGCCAAGTGAAGTCAGAAGGGCCAAGACAAACACCAGATGATCTCAGACTTGGGGGAACAAACGACATCCACTGAAAAGCAAACCTTAGACTGACAACAGAATTAGTTACCCAAACGGGTAGGGGTGGGGGAAGGGAATGGTCTGTGATGGAGGGTACTGGCACTTTGGTGACAGGCATGGGGTAAGAACCCTGGACCCCTAACTGTGAATTTTGGGCCACGCCTGGCAGTACTCCCTTCAGTGCCCCAGGGACTACGCAGCGCGGGAGATCATCAAATCCAGGCCTCCCTTATGCAAACCATGCACACTAGCCCTTTATTGCCCCCAAAACGACAAACATTTACACTCTTGGAACCAATGTTAAGTCGGTCAGTTTACAAAAACAGGGCTTCATGAAACAGGATAGTATTTTGTACAGGGGAAAACAGCATATTCAACCACAGCCACAGAGCATCTCTGTGTGAAAAATGTACACACACCCGAAGGGGGAGAAAGGCAAAGTCATACTGGGTATGGGTCAAGGGGTCATCGTTGAGGGGCAGGCAGGGTGACAGGAATTTTCACCTCACGAACACATTTTTGGTTTCCTAGACCAAAACAGCCAAGGTGATCATCCAAGGAAAGGGTTTCCCGAGAGGGCTGCAGCAGACGCCAGTAGGCCGTGGGCGCGGCGAGCCCAGAGTCAAGTCAGCAGCAGTCACAATAAATACCTCACACCATCGTCCCGAACACAAGTGCTTTACTTGGCTGTGGGGCTGTGCACGGTCCTGTCTCTGCTCCTGGACCTCTTTCTGCCGCGGCTCCTGGACCGGGACAAACTGCGGCTGCGGCTGCGGCTCCCGCTCCAGCTCCAGCTGCGGCTGCGGCTGCGGCTCTGCCTCCGGCTCGGGCTATGCCTTCGGCCCCGGCTGCGGCTGCGGCTGACACTGCGGCTGCGGCTGCGGCTGGGCCTGCGGCTGCGGCTGGGCCTCCCGCGGCTGTGGCTCGTGCTGCGGGCCCGCTTGCTCCTCCTGCCACGCGAACAGTGCCTCTCCCGGCTCCTGGAGGCGTGCCGCTGCGACCGCCTCTCCCGCTGTGCGCTCCTCCTCCGCTTCGTCGTCTCCCCGTTCCTCTTGTAGGCGTGGGCCGGGCTGGGGCTCCGCCGCCGCCGGGGCCGGCTGTGGCCCACCCGCTCCCTCCGGTCGGCGTTCTTGCCCGAGGAGCCGGTCCGATCCGGAGACAGGTGAATGTCCCGGTTGGCTTCCCAGAACTCATTGTTGGGGTTCCGGAACACGTGGAGGAAGTTGCAGTGCTTCCCTCTCGGGCACTGCTGTATTTCAAACAAACCTGCGCGGGAAGGAAAGAGCATTCACGGAGGGGCCTGCGTCTTTCCGTCTTGTCTTTCCCCCTTTCCCGAGGCGCACGTGGGAAACAACCATTTCCGTTACAAAGAAGGGGGTGGCCGGGCAGTGACAGCCTAGTTTCGTTTCCCAGAACTTCAAAGAGCCAGTGTGCAGGCCGTCCAGAGGGTCGTACACAGCATCAGCGACAACACAGATCCTAATGCACACTGTCGCTCTGTGCTGGCACACTCTTCAGGGCGCGGTGGGGCCAGGAAAGACCATGAGTCAGGAGGGCCTGTATTTCCTTTGTTGTTTTGTTGTGTTTCAGTTCGGGGGGAGGGGAGGCGGCTCACCCCAGTGGTGCTCAGAGCTTACTTTACTCCTGGCTCTGAGCTCAGGGATCACTCCTGGCACACTTGGGGGACCATATGGGGTACGGGGATCAAGCCTAAGTCTGCTGCGACAGGGCCAGCACTCAACCTGCTGCTCTATCTCTCTGGCCCCAAGTGTGTATTTTCTTTACATTATAAGGTGACGAGCAACTGGTCTAATGCTTCCACCTAACCACAGGCTTTTAACCCCCCTGACCAAGGACGGCATCTGAACAGAGAAGTCCTTCGCTTTCATTTGGTTTGTTTTTCAGGCCACACTGGCTATGCTCAGGCTTACTCCTGGTGAGCTCAGAGGACACAGATGAGGTGCCAGGGATTGCACCCAGGCCTGCTGTGTGCAAGGCAAGCACTCTACCCACTGTACTAGCTCTCTGGCGCCAATCGTATGTTTTCTCTTTACATTTAAAATGAGAAACTGGTCTAATAAGGATGCTGCTGACCGAGGTGACATCTGAACAGAGAGATTCTTTGGTTTGTTTTCAGGCCACATCCAGCTGTGCTCAGGGCTAACTCCTGGCTATGTGCTCATTGGATCATTCCTAAGCAGTGCTCAGAGACCACTTGGAGATCCAACCAGGGTCAGCTGCATGCCAGACAAGTGCCTAGGCCACTGTATTATCTCTCTGGCTCCCTTTTTGGAGTTCTAGAACTTACTTTTTGTTTTTTTTGGTTTTTGGGTGACACCTAGCTGTGTTCATGGTTACTCCTGGCTGTATGAGGTGCCAGGGATTGAACCAAACCTAGACACTTGTAAGGCAAGCACCTTAACCTCTGCACTACCTCTCCAGCCCCAAACTTTATCTTTAAACTGTAAATTCTCAAATAATGCAAAAATAGCTAAAAGTCAAATACCTCCCTGCTACATGCTACCTGTAAAAATTGGATGGAGTTCCAAATGTAAAAACATATCAGTACGTTTCTTTTTTGTTGTTTTGGGGCCACATCTGATGCTACTCATGGCTTACTCTGGGGCTTTGTGCTCAGGGATAACTTAGGCAATCCTTGGGGAAAGCATATGTCGTGCTGGGGATTGGACCTGGGTTGGCTGCATGCAAGGCAAGTGCCCTCCCTACTCACTGTACTATCACTCAGGCTCCGTAAGTCAATCTTTTTTAACATGGGGCTAGGCAATGGACTCCTGGAAAGGACACTGAAAGCATAAGCAACACATAAAAACCACATGACTTTTTTAACTTAAAAATGTTTGGGGCTCATGGTCAGAAAGATGGCTTAAAGGGCTGGAGCACATGTTTTGCATGCAGGAGCCCCTGGTTTTATTGCTGGGATTGCATGGTCTGCCCCAGCACCACTGGGTATGGGCCCATAACCAAAAAAAGGAAGCTGTCAAAATGAAAAGATAACTCACATAACGAGAGAAAATACTTGCAAATCACATCAGTGATATGGAGACTGTCTAAAGACTTTATTAAGAACTCATACCAGGGGCTGGAACAATAGCACAGCAGGTAGGGCGTCTGCCTTGCAAGCGGCCAATTCGGGTTTGATTCCCAGCATCCCATATGGTCCCTTGAGCACAACCAGGAGTAATTCCTGAGTGCAGAGCCAGGAGTAACCCCTGTGCATTGCCAGGAGGTGTGACCCAAAAAGTCAAAAAAAAAAAAGAACTCATACCATTCAATAACAAAAGTCAAAGTTAATTAAAAAATGGGGGAAGTATCTGAATAAACAATTCTCCACTAGTGGTCAATAATGATATAAAAAATGCTCAACATCATTAGTTACTAGATAAAAAGACAAGGCTATTGTTATTAAAAAGCAAGTGAAAAAACCCTACTGCCCTGGGTGTAGGGGTGGGGGAAGTCATATTCATAGGCAGAAGCAATCTGCTGAAATCACGCTGGATTCTCCAGAAGTGACAGACACTGAACGCCTTTACGGAGGCAAACTTTCCCTTTCTTGGGTTGCCCCATGCTTTTAAACTTCAGGTAGAAGGGCTCTTTAGGTCTGCCAGAGCAAGGAGTCCTCTCTCTCCTTTCCCCCTAAGTCCGTGGTTTTTGAACAGCATCCATTAAGACCAGGCTGCCAGAGATTCAGACTTACATAAGTGACTGAGAGTTCTTTGGCACTAAGAGCTTCCAAGCAGGTGAGTGTCAAACAGAAAAGTAAAGGGCAAGAGAAGCGTCCTTTCTTCCTTTCTGACATACTGGCCTCACCTCCACAGGGGAGAAATCATAAAGTAAGTCGTCTTCCAAAGCGTGGGGCTCTGGGGACTGACTCACTTCCTGTCTCAAGACCTCTCTCCAGTGAGTCACTCTGACGGCTGCAGTGTGACAACCCAGCCACAGCCCCAAAGCACACCTTGAAGTGAGACAGGAAATGTCTCCATAGTCACAGCTGAGGTGGCGAGAGACGACAGAGGACTCAGAATGCATAAAGAGGCAGTGAGACCCCAGCTCAGGCTTAGGGCTGAGTGACGATGCACATCCTACAGGGGGAAGGCCCTGGGTTCAGTCCCCAGCAGTGCAAGGCCAAGTGAGGGGAGCCCAAGATGGGACAACACCCCAGAGAGGCCCAGGCGCAGGAACGCCTTCCTGGGGATTCCACTCTACTGGTATCCTGGGATCTGAGAGCCCAGGCTGGGATGAGAAGACCAGCAACCCAGCGCCAACTGTATCACCACTACATTAGAACCTTAGTCACCTGTCCTAGAAAGTAACCCACAAGGTCTGTGACAGATTTCAAATGGGAGGCAATGGGTTCTGTCCCCAGTCTCCAAAAAATAATCACATGTGACACTGTAGCACTACTGTCCTCCCCTTGCTCATCGATTTGCTCGAGCGGGCCCAGTAACGTCTCCATTGTGAGACTTGTTGTTACTGTCTTTGGCATATCGAATACGCCACGAGGATCTTGCCAGGCTTTGCCATGCGGGCGGGATACTCTCAGTAGCTTGCCGGGCTCTCCGAGAGGGACAGAAGGATTGAACCCAGGTCGGCAGCATGCAAGGCAAAAACCCCACCTGCTGTGCTATCACTTCAGTCCATCACATGTGACACCCCTTATATAATGATCCCGACCCACTTACTGCATGAGGAAAAAGCCCCCCCCCTTTAAAGGAGTGTTTCCCCCTGAGAATGTTCCTTTGTACAGTAAGGCAAGTGTCATGCTGCACTTTACCGCAAATTGCCATTTTCCATCGGGTCACCGGGCAGAATTCACAGTGAAGTTGGCGGCCTGCATACCATCGTCCATTAAACACAGAGAGGGCTGCCTGGCACTCTTCTTCCCTTTAAACCACAAAGTAAAGGACACATGTTACGCTAGGGCTCTAATAAGGAGAGTCCTCCCATTGCTAACTAACACTGAGGACTGTTTGTACTACCCAGCGGTTCCTCAAGCTCCAGAAGCTCACGGTTTACTCAGGAAGCTTTTTACTAAGTATCCCGGCCTTGCCTTGAGTTGAAGTGTCTTCAACCAAAACACAGAACCATTAAAAACACAGTGTTTCCCATGGTCATAGTCTGTTCCCTCCTGGCCACGACTATCAGGCCTTTGATTACAATGGCACAAACGGAACCCAGGCCAACAGCAAGACTAAGCAAAAATGTTGTGATTACTTGTAGGGGACAAAAGCACACTCAGATTGTAAGTCAGGTTTAATTTCTGGCTGTCAATTCACACTTTTCCATTCTCTAGTCTAGTTACACCCCTTACGTTTGTACATTAATTATTAAAATTCTACAAGATTCCTTGTTACAAAAGTATACAGAGAACAACATGCAAATGTATTATTTCTGAATCCCTGCTGTATTTCCACATCAGACCTTACAACTCTCATTTGAGAAAATACCCCGCCGATAAGAGATAATACTCAGAAGGAAAATCTCCCACCTGAGGAGCGCCACCATAGTGTTTGACCAAATACTCACGATTGATACTGAACATACACGTTGCCCCTCAGATGCGGTTCCAGGTTGCAGCTGACCTAAGAAGCAATGAAGAATTCCATTATTAAAAGCAACAAAGAAGGGACACCCTTCAGTCTCCAAACACTACCAGTCCCAAAGGTAGTTTCCCTCCGAAGTTCCTGATATCGCGATCGTACCCCATTTGCAGGTCTAAGGGAAAGCCGACTTCTGGGTGAGCAGCCTCACAGGCCCAAGCATCTGATCTCTGCCGAATGGACTCACTGTTTATTCGCTCTCTCTTTCCTCACGGAGATGAGCAATCTTCTAGGGCTGGGTGCATTCACTCTCCAAGAGCAAACACACATACACATACTACTCTCTCTATATATACAGACATTCCTACAGGCACCAAAAATCATATGCTCACTTAGCTATACATGCCCTCTGGACTTGTATTATGGATACAGATCATATATCACATCTATTACGCACATATGGGAAAGCACAGATTACATACACATGGGCAAAAGAAACATGGAAATGTAAACAATATATACATTTTCAAAATTTACATAATAATATTCCCGATCTTTTCAAGATGTAGTAACATAAGCTTAATGACTCATTTTCATTATGTGCACTGGAAAGAACAAATTATCAGAATTATTTATGCACTACTCTGCTGATGAATATTCAATGCCTTTCTCGGCTCGCTCCCCGCCAGAGCGGCCGTCTGTGTCTGGACCCCCTCTTCGGGCAGAAGGATTTCTCTAGTGTGTACAGTGGGAGTCACAGGCCTGCTGCTAGGTCCCAGATGGCTTCTGCGTCCATAGGTACTGAGACAGAGCTCTCAGTAGTTGTTTTACTGACACATCCTTGACCCCTCTCGGTATAAGTAGAATTTCTCGTGGGTTACCTGTTAGGTCTAAATAACAGCTCATAGTAATATGCACTGTCCCCACTACCAATTAGGTAGAACGTTTGGTCTTTTGTTTTGCAAAGTAAGAAATGTGGGCCAGAGAGGTAACTCAAAAGGCTGAGTGCAGGGCCTGATCCCCAGCACCCCATGCTCCTCTACACCCAGAACCAGGAGTGACTGCTGCAGCCTCCAAGCACTGCTGCCCATGGCTCCGAAACTGACAGGCAAATCTGATAAGCTTTTATAGAACAGTATAAAAAGATCTGCAAAACCATAAGGAACAAAAATGGCGGGGGAGAGAAAGAGAAAAAGAGAAAGAAGAAAAGTACTTGCCAAAAAAGTAAAGCGGGGGGCTGGAGCAATAGCACAGCGGGTAGCACGTTTGCCTTGAACGCGGCCGACCCGGGTTCAATTCTCAACTTCCCATATGGTCCCCTGAGCACTGCCAGGCATAATTCCTGAGTGCAGAGCCAGGAGTAACCCCTGTGCATTGCCAGGTGTGACCCAAAAAGAAAAAAAAGCGGGTAGACATTGCCTCTTTTGTAAACCACAACACCCAATAGAGAGAGAGAACAAAAGGGAATGCCCTGCCACAGAGGCAGGGTGGGATGGGGCGGATGGGAGGTGGGAGGGATACCGGGATCCGTGGTGGTGGGAAATGAGCACTGGTGGAGGGATGGGTATTTGATCATTGTATAATTGAATCCCAAGCACAAAAGTGTGTAAGTCTGCAACTGTACCTCATGATGTCTCACTATTAAAATTTTTTTTAATAAATAACTTCAAAAAAAAGCGGGCAGAGGGGAAACTGGGACCATTGTTGGTGGAAAATGTATACTGGTGAAGAGACAAGTGCCGGAACATAATATGACTGAAATACAATCATGAACAACTTTGTAACTGTGTATATCACTGTGATTCAAAACAAAAATTAAAAATAAATAAACAGAAAGGTTTGCAAACATTCACACTAATGTTTAGATCTGCATTTGCAAAGTGAGACTGGATGCCCACATACGCTTTTTCTGTTGTTCGTTTTGGGGCCACACCCAGCAATACTCAGGGGTTACACTTGGCTCTGCACTCAGGAATCACTCCTGGTGATGCTCAGCGGACCATATGGGATGCCAGGTATCAATACCCAGGTGAGCTGCATATAAGGCAACTGCCTACCCACGGTACTATCTCTCCAGCCCTGAACTCACACAAATTCTCAAGAAGCTATGTTTGTTAAGAGCAGCCCCAAAGAGGCAAGATGTACACTACAGGGATGTTACCACAGCATCCTCAGAAGGGAGACGGATGCCATGCCAGCCAGAACACTACCAGGTCACAGGTCCCACCCAGGCAGTGAGCCGGGCCCAAGCTTTTGGTCCTTGTGGGTCCTTGAGTGGGAAGTCCCATGCCCTGCTTCTCTGCACCGCACATGCCCACCTTGAACTGGATCACTTTCCCCACATTCTTAAATTCGGGGAGGACATCATCGTAGAAGTCGAGGAACTGCTGGTAGGTTTCCTCTTCACTGTACTCCAAGCCGGCATCGGGGTCGTAGTCATCCCTTCGACACTGTTCCATGCCAAATGTGGTGAACATGCTTTTAATAAGCAGGGTGGGGCTCGATGTTGGTAAAGTGTGTTTCCTCGAACACCTGCATACCAAAGGAAGAGTTCAAGTCAACAGTGATAGTCAGAACTGACACCCCAGAAGTTGGTTTTAAACACTATTTGAATAAAGACTCCAGTATCTGCACCATTTCAGCTTCACAGAAAGGTCCAACACCTCATTGCGATATGAATTTCAAAAGTAACCACCACCCTAAGGGCTGGGAATGTGGAAAAAATAGTGCCTGCCAGAGACCTAGGTTTGATCCCTAGCACCAAAGAAAAAGAACTGAACTATGAAGGATCAATTATTTACTCTCATTAAAGAGTAAAGCTGCAAAATTATTTCCAAGTTCATGCACCATGTAGCTGCCTTTTGGTACTATGTGTGTGTAAGACCCTGAAAAGAGAAATTTCTGCCTGCAAGACTGTGGAAACTGACAGGCACAAGTTAGCCTTGGGAGGAAGGGGTCTACACAATTTTCATTTTGCTCACTACTTGGGGAGCAGGGTAATTTAAATCTCTAGGTCAGGGGATCGATGTTCTCTGGCTGGAAAGCACTTCATGATGTCCATGGCATTCTTCTATTTTTTAATTTTGACTCTTGCAGGGTGTTAGGGTAGCGGAGGCTACTATTTTCCTCACTTTGAAGAGAAGGAAGAACATATAGCCATGTCAGAGATGACCCCACGAGAGCTTAGTTAATCTAGAGCCTGTTCAATATACTGTACGATAAATGTTCTTGAAGAGCAATTTTTCAGTTTAAAATAAACCAGGTTATGCCTAAGTCATTTGTAAACTTTTTATTAGTTAACTTTCTAATTTACTTCCTTCTCTGAAAAGAAAAGACAGGGGAAAAATGAGTTCCCAGTTCCAAATCAACATTCTCACAATTAGGTTTCCCGTTAAACTGGTTAAAACCAAGTTTTAAGCTGCAAGAACAAATACCAAAAAACCACCCCCAGAGCCTCAGGAGAAAAAGAGATGAACAGGTCCAGTGTTGGCAAAGCTGCAGCGACTCAGCACACTCAGTTTCCAGGTCGACAACACACATCTGCACCTCGAGACCAAAGTGGCCAGAAAGGCCGGTACACCGTGCACCAGGCGTGGGATGTGCAGCCAGAGTCACTAAGGGCATCGACACCCTTAATGCTCCTCAACGATTCCGAGGCCATAAGCACGACCACAGAACCAAGGGGGCGAGTCCACCTGGCTGGCAGCGGCCACTGGGCATCTGAATCTGACAAGCAGAAAACACTCGGAAACAAGGAAACAAGACCAGATCTCTTTTTGTGATGAGTGTAGCTGAATGACCTTGCCTCTCGGACAAACGATGTCCGAGATGACAGGATCTCGTTGAAGTCTGGTTTTTAACAACCAAACTCTTAACGTTTGGCTCTCCTGATCCCAATGATGCTGCCTCTGGGGTTTGGATATTCGGCTCTACAACACTGATGTACCTGAATCCCCCTGACCCCTGCCTCCCATCTTTCTCCTTTCCCACACCGTCTTTCCTTCTCCTACTTATACTCAATAAGCCCAGAGTTGATTATAGAAATTATGATATACTGTCCTATTACTTTTGCACAGTAATCCATGAGAGAAACATTCAGAATGTGATTATCAAGGAAATAGTTGTCTTCCTCGAGATAAGACCCAATCATTCTACCTTTTGGTAACAGCTACATTTGTAGCTCATTTCCTACCTGGGATACAACAACCCCAAGAGCCAACTAACTGTATAATACATTCACAATAACTCACTCTCTCCTCTTTCCTTGATTACAATATTTTTTATTAAACTTTGTGCAGCAGAGTGTCTCTTTTTCACACAACAAATTCGTCATTGCCTCGAGCAGGCCCCAGTAACGTCTCTTCGTCCTAGCCCTGAGATTTTCTTTTTTTTAAAGTGCCATATTCAAGGATCTTTCAGGGTTAGGAGAATGAGACCCATCCTTGTTACTGGTATTTGGCATATTGGGTAAGCCACGGGGAGTTTGCCAGACTCTGCCGTGTGGGCAGGTTACATTCGGTAGCCTGCCAGTTTGTCTAAAGTAGGAATGAGATGATAAGATGTCGCGCAGCCGCGAATGCACCGTGTAATCCCATCAACGGCCAAGACCCAGAGACTATAAAACCCAGCTCCCGGAAGAGAACAGCGCAGAGTCTCCTGACCCCTCGCCTGGCTGTCCTCGCTGGGGCTCCTTGGAGGGGAGCGGGTTGAGTTTCCTCCCCACTCCGACCAGGGCTCCAGCAGCCAAAGACCTCCAGAACCAGCCACCACCATGCTGAGACCACTCTCCGCACACATGAAGGTACCGGCAGAGGGACAAAGCCACGCGGGTACCGGGGCCAAGATCTCCAAGCCTACTCGGATTTGGGCCGAGCATCCTCCACCCAGATCCTCCAAATTCCAGTAGGCGGGGGTCACACCCACCAACTGGCCCCCTGGCGCCGTGTAATCCCATCAACGGCCAAGACTCAGAGACTATAAAACCCAGCTCCCGGAAGAGAACAGCGCAGAGTCTCTTTTTAATCACTCCCATAAACAAGTGAGGTATAAATACTCTGGTTTTACTTTTCATAAGTGCTTACTGTTTTTTGTATGTGGGGCCACACCCAGCTGTGCTCAAGGCTCCCTCCTGGCAGAGCTCAGGGGACCATATATGGTGCCTGGGATTGAACTCAGGTTGGAGCGTGCAAGCCAAATAACCTACCCATTCTAGTATGATCTTTCCCACCCAGTGTCCATGTTCTTTTAAAAGAAAAAAAATGTAGAATTCACTTCTACGCTGTGATTCCAAAAATCTCAACTCCAGAAAGATTCTAGAATGGAACACTACTAATTACAAAACAAACTCCCAAAGACATGCTTAGGTTATGGGAGGGTTCATGTGATAACGTATGACAAATTTTCACAGAAGTAATGTTTAATTCAGAGATCTCTGTGAAAGGTGGACAAGGATCTTGGTTTGAAGAAGAGGGACTGGATTTCGTAACTAGTAATTTCATAGAACACTATTTTACAAGTAATTTCTTGAACAAAGCAATACTCCACTTGCTCTCATATTTTTATAGCTGTAAAAGCATTAAGAAATTCACACAAACAAATCTTTTGTTTTGGTGTGGCAGTGCTCAGGGCTTACTTCTGGCTCTGTGCTCCAGGACCACTCCTGGCAAGGCTGAGGAGATCCTCTGGGGTGCTGGGAATGGAACCCAGGTCGGCTGTGTGCCAGGCAAGCACCCTTTCCACTGTACCATGACCCTGGGCCCCTCACAAACAAATCTGACTGCTGCTAATATTTCCCTGAACTATCAAAAGTGGCTCTGTTCCGGACTATGCATTGACCCAGGCCATCAAGTCTGCCGGAGGGGAAAGGGTGTTGCCCCATTCGCCCTCTCCTCTCTGGAAAGAAAGATGGCGGCCACATGGGAGCCTTGTGGACAGCAGGTATGAGCCGGGGGTGTGGGGGCGACTAAAACCTCATGGGAAGGGGGGCGTTCCGGTCCGTCCTTCACGCCCTACCAAGGTCACCAGTTGCCCCCCACGAGCGGCTCTCCAGCACGGCCACAGCCCCAGAAGCACAAGGGCTTAATGCAGAACCCAGCAGCTTGGAGCAGAAAAGTGAAAGGACTATGCGTTAATCCAGGCAATCATTTCTGCCCAGAGGGGAAAGGGTGTTGCTCCCTTCCGCCCTCCTCCCTCTGGAAAGAAAGATGGCGGCCACATGGGAGCCTTGTGGACAGCAGGTATGAGCCGGGGGTGTGGGGGCGACTAAAACTTCATGGGAAGGGGGGCGTTCCGGTCCGTCCTTCACGCCCTACCGAGGTCACCAGTTGCCCCCCACGAGCGGCTCTCCAGCACAGCCACGGCCCCAGAAGCACAAGGACTTAATGCAGAACCCAGCAGCTTGGAGCAGAAAAGTGAACGGACTATGCATTGATCCAGGCCATCAAGTCTGCCGGAGGGGAAAGGGTGTTGCCCCATTCGCCCTCTCCTCTCTGGAAAGAAAGATGGCGGCCACATGGGAGCCTTGTGGACAGCAGGTATGAGCTGGGGGAGTGGGGGCGACTAAAACCTCATGGGTCGGGGGGCGTTCCGGTCCGTCCTTCACGCCCTACCGAGGTCACCAGTTGCCCCCCACGAGCGGCTCTCCAGCACGGCCATGGCCCCAGAAGCACAAGGACTTAATGCAGAACCCAGCAGCTTGGAGCAGAAAAGTGAATGGACTATGCGTTGATCCAGCCCATCAAGTCTGCCGGAGGGGAAAGGGTGTTGCCCCATTCGCCCTCTCCTCTCTGGAAAGAAAGATGGCGGCCACATGGGAGCCTTGTGGACAGCAGGTATGAGCCGGGAGTGTGGGGGCGACTAAAACCTCATGGGAAGGGGGGCGTTTCGCTCCGCCCTTCACGCCCTACCGAGGCCACCAGTTGCCCCCCACGAGCGGCTCTCCAGCACGGCCACGACTCCAGAACACAGAAACCAATTTCTTAACTATCTGACTTTCAGTAGAAATACTTCCAGGGTCAATAAGTAAAATAGCAGAAATCCAAAACCAACATTTAATTCTTGAACCCAGCTGGAGAAAGCAAATCACTTCACAATGCTTTTTCAGCATGTCTGATTTGGGGGGGGGGGTAAACTCTAAATAATAGTGGTGAATCTTTTATTGAAACAATCTAATCAAAGCGGATAGAGTGTTAACTAGAATTCATCTGCCTCACAGGGACGGGGAGGGGTGGGGGGTGGGGTTTTATTGGGGTTCTTCATGGGAAAAAATAAGTATTGGTAAAGGGAAATGTGTTTGATATTTGCATGACTGAGACATAAACCTGAAAGCTTTGTAACCTTTCCTACAGTGATTCAATAAATAAAAAAAAAAAAAAGTGGCTCTGTTCCTCTTTCCACAAATAGGTACTGACAACTGAGTTCCTGAAACCACTTGAGACATCTCCCCTTTTCATACTTATGCCCCAAAGGAGACGAGACTCAGATGGTCACTACTTTTAAAATTCAGTGGAATGTTAGAGATACAGTGTGAATTAGGAGTCCTGCAGCAGAATCTGGGTGAACTACCTGTGAAAACATGGAACTCACATTGATTGGAGCTTGAAGGTGTTAAGCTAAGTGAAATTACAATGAAGACAAGTACTGTAAATCTTGACTTCTATTTAGAATCTGAAAAACCAAACAAACAAGACCCAAGTTTATAGATGCAGAGAACAGATGGGTAGTGGGCTGAGGCGGGAGTGCGAGAAAGGGGTGTTATTTCCGTCACTAATATTTCTGGGGCAAATGAAGCATAAACTAGATGAATACTAGGTACAACGGGGAACAAAATATGCCTCCCCCAATCCTGTATTAGTGCCTCACCATCCTGGAGGTCACAGTAGAAAACCGAAAGACATTTCCAAACTAAGGCTGTCAATTCTCAAGAGAATCTGATTCACTCCCTCTACCCCTTTTTCTGGGTCTCTGAAACACACCTGGCTGTGATCAAGGGTAATGCCTGGCAGTGCTCAAGGGCCTATATGCAGTGCCAGGGATCAAAGAGGGGGAGCAGCATGCAAGGCAAGCACCTTCACCCCATACTATCTCTCCAGTCTCCACGCTACTTTTTAAGCATAATTTCTTTTTTTTTCTTTTTTTTTTTTTTGCTGAGTAACCCCAGCAATGCTCAGGGGTTATTCCTGGCTCTGCAGTCAGAAATCACTCCTGGTGGTGTTCAGGGGACCATATGGGATGCCGGGGATGGAAGCGTGCAAGGCAAACACCTTACCCCCTGTACTATTGCTCCAGCCTCTGACATCATTTCTAAAACGTTTTAAATGATCCTAATGTGCACTGACAATTAATAGTTAGGAAAAAAATCTTTAAAAACATAAAATATTATGAGGAGTTAAATAAAAAAAAAAGAAGAGAGAAAAAATTCATATTTTCAAAGAAGGAAATCAAAGTTCCAGCATGGATGATTTTATGAATAAAATAAATAAGAGAGACAACATACAGTTTCTCATTAAATGATAGGAATTTGCCTATTCATATCCCTTCTGAGGATTAATAGTACTCTGAGATTAGATCTTCTCTTCTGTAGCATGCACAGTAATAATTAGATTTTGCTTCGAATGGATTTATTCACCACTATGAATTATTTACCTACTTAGAGTTATTCATTCATAAAGAGGACAAATTATAAAAATCACACCAGGCCTGGCCTGGCAGATAGGAGGTATTTAAATATTTGCGAAATCAGGCATTTACATTAAGTTCTCCACACAAACATTTGGGTTCAAAAATCAGATCCCCAAAGGGCAGGGGACAGAAGTGTTTAGAAATGAAAGCAGCAATGAGGAGAGGATGGCAGCCGAGACATCCACCACGGGAAAGCGGCCTTCCGTGCATCTGCTCGGCCCCATGGACCCCTCAGAAGGGGAATGGTATTTTACAACCTTGGGAGGGGGCAATCCTGCAGTGCTCAGGAGATCCTGAATTACCAGAGATCGAACCTGGGGCACCCTCATGAAGCAAACTCTCCTTTGAGTTATCTCCCTAGTCTGAATGGTATTTTTATTTTTTTTATCATTTCACTATATTAAATATAGAGAGGTAATAAATTGCTAACTATCACCAAAAGGCACTTGAAAAAAAATCAGGCTAACTCAATGCCTCTCTTGCAAACCACAGAACCCAAAAGGAGAGAGAGAGAACAAAAGGGAATGCCCTGCCACAGAGGCAGGGTAGGATGGGGGGATTGGGGGTGGGAGGGATGCTGGGACCCGTGGTGGTGGAGGATGGGCGCTGGTGGAGGGATGGGTACTTGATCATTGTATAACTGAAACCCAAGCACAAAAATTTGTAAGTCTTTAACTGTACCTCATGGTGTGTCTCACTAATAAAAAATAAATAAATAAAAAAGAAAAGAAATAGAAACAATTTAAAAAAATCAGGCTAGTTTAGTGGACCAGAACTCACACTTGGCACGCAGGAGGCCCAGGCGCAGTCTCTGGCCCCACACAGCCCCTGAGCACCAGCTGGCCCGGAGCCTCCCATATCCCAGTGGCCTCCCAGAGGCTGCTCCCCGGGAACAGATGGAGACCAGAAGCAAAGAGCTGAGCTGAAGTGGAGAAAAGCTGACCCTGGAAGTGCTGAGAGAGATGGTGAACGCGACAGCACCGGTGGGTGCCAGCCCCAGGCCTGTGTTTCTCTTTCCCAAATGCTACTGAAGTTGGTAGATCCACTGCTACCTCGAAATGAGAGACGGACGGACGGGGACATGGGGGGAAGGGAGGGAAGGGAAGGTGATGCTGTTCTGTATCCCCATTTTAAAGATGAGAGAACTAAGGCACACAGGGGCAGAAGTAACTGACTTACAAAAGGCAGTTTTTAATGAGCCAGGTTCATTCCTATGTGGACGCTGAGCAACTGAGATGGGTGAATTCGAACCTTTTTCCTCTACACACTAAAGTGGATCCTGTCTTTCAGTCATCCTTTTCGGCATGCCTGTTTTATGAAGCTTCTTAAAAAAGTTTTATGATGCCTTGGGGTCACAGACAACAGGCTTCTGGGTCAAAGAGCAAAGCGGCCACATTAGCTCACTATGAATGTGGGACACCAGGGGTTTGGACTCGTGACCAGAGGCTTGGTAAGCTGCAAGACAGATGCTATAAGTCACTGTGCTATTCCTCCAGGCCCCTAACGCCTCTTTTATGCAGGGTTTGCTCTTCAAATACTAAAGCCCAGGTTGCTGGAGTCTCTGTTAAAGGGATTATCTCCCAAGCCAGGGTATCTCTTGTAAACCAAAGCAAGGACACTAAGGAAATAGAAAGCAAATGGTCTTTAGGAAGTGATGGAAGGCAGGCCAAGACAACCCTGTCAGAAACTCAAGCCAGGGCAGAGGCCTGTGGAAGCAGAGGGTGGGCCACAGGGATCAGAGAACTGGCCAGAACACAGTACACACCTGATTTGGAACACCTTAAATTCCACCACTCCCCACAGGAGAGCTCAGGAACCTTGTCCTTTGACTCAACTCCGACAGGACGAAACAAAATTAGTTACCTGTCTCCAAAACGGCAAGCTCCTGTTTTATTGTAGAATGGACAATTAGCACGATCCTTCTCCATGACTCTTGAGTCCGTGGGTGGTTCTGGGTTTTGCCACATGTTGGTATTTTCCAACTGTTGAAAATAACCATGACTTTACTGGCAGTGTCAAAATCCACGAAGAATTTAAAGTTTCAGCGTCAAGCATTTAGTCATGCATAAAATACCCACATTTCAGTTTTAACAAGCGAGTGAGACTGCAGAGGCAAAGTTTGGGTGACACCAGCTGCATTTCTCTTGCCTCCTGGGCACCGCCCCATCACTAGGCATCACTGCAGATACTAGGTGTCACAAGGGCTCCTGTCCATTCATTCTGAAAAGTGACAAAGGACTTGAGGCCGGGGGCAACGGACAGAAAACTAAGTTCTTCTGAATTCAGGGCAACCACCCACTTCAAGGTACATGTGATGCACTGCACAATCTTTCTGGACTTCACACAAGTTTAGTCCATGGGGGGGCAAGAGAGGTGGGGGGTGGGGGAAATACCCTACTACTGACCATTGATTTTTGTCCATTGATAAATTTTTTGGGGGGTGAAGAAATCACAGCAGCAGAGTGACTTCCAGATACTCAGATGTGACACTGAGTAAATCATCTACCTCAAAAGGAACATTACAGAAAACACTCCTTCTGGGCTTGCTCTTCAAGCCCGTGTTCTCCACAAACCACGCATCCCTCCTGCTTTCTTTGATGCTTCTTTGCCTGCCTTTTTCCACTGCGGAGAAGTCTGTGTTCTTTCTCGAACATGTACTTCTCTCTTTCTCCACCCTCACACGTCTTTCTAAGTAACTTCCAATAAAAACTATCTTGAACACCCACACTCACACCCACCCACGCCCCCACCACCCCAATCCCATTTTTAAAGAAACAATCACTGGTCTCAAATTCTTAGTGAAAGGTTTTGACAATACCTCATTTTCAGCTTGCTCCAGCATCTTCTGCACAGCTTCCTACAAATGGTGTAAAACACAGAACTAGTAAGAACCTGGAAATCAGGCAAGGCACATGTTTCCCCTCTGACAGGGCCAGTGGACCCCAGAATGTGCCCCACTCCCGCCCCCCTGCAGACAGCTCTCAGCTCTCTGGCCTCCCTGACTGTCATCCCCCCGCCCCCCAAAAGTGAAAACGACTGTTCCCTACCTTCTTCAGCTCCTCACTCAGACCTCTCCCCCCGGCCTGGACTCCTCCCTGTTCTCCTTGCACTTGGGTAACACTTCAAATTCTTCAGAAGTCTTCCTGGACCGCGTGATTTACAGTACTTCTCTACCCCAGCTCCATGTTACATGACCCTGCATTTCTTTTGATAATACTGAAAGTATCTTTTTTTGCTTGCGTGTCCTTCTAAATAACTGAGTCAATCGAAGCAGGGGCTGCGTCTTTTCCAGGATTCTGTGTCTGCCCAAGTGCACTAGAGAACCTAGCGCATGGCATAATCGGTTTCGTCTTATCCACTTGTCCCTGATGTCTTGCCAAACTGCCTTCAAAAATGCTTTTCTTTTCTGGTTTGGGGCCACACTTGGCAGCGTCCAGGGAGCACAGCCGGTGGCGATGTAGGAATGACACTGGGTGCCAGAGATCATACTCGGGACAGCCACAAGCCAGTTAAGAGTCCTATCTGCTGTACTCAGCCTCTGGCCTTGCTTTCTACAAAGAAACCTTCACTTCTGAATCCAGAAAGACTTCAATCGACGAACACTGTATACTCATCATCACTCTATAAAAATGACAAGTTCCCGTTTCCCTGCCCCCTAAAAACCTCGTGTGATCTGGCCTCAGCTGGAAAGCAGTGCTCAGACAAGGATGCGTGAAACGCACTGCAAAAAACTGATCGCTGAGCAACACACACCAAACACGGTGGCAATACCTACTCCTTCGTGACATACAAAATGAACTTGTCCCCAAGTGATGAACTACCCAATTAGCTGCTATTCAAACCTGGCAGTGTTATAGAAAATGTACGCACTGATAACCCAAAGAACGATGAGCTAGGAAACCTTTGAAATAAAGACACGGCCGGGTTTGGGGAGAGACCCTCAAGTTGTGGAGCAGACATGCTGTGTGTTCAAGGCCCTGAACTTGGATCTCTGGCAGTGCATAACCCCTACCCCCAAACACGGTCGGGCGGAGCTTTGGCGGCCCCCGCACTATGTGGAAGCCCTATACTGCCATGCCCAAGAACTGCTCCATCGGGCCCACCTCACTAGGCTGAGTGCTGCGAGCACTACTGGGGAAAGCCTCTCCCCACTCCCAAGGAAATACATATACTGCTAAGAAACAACAGCAACATATAACGAACAAATGTTTAAACGATCCTGGAAGACAGAGAGTCAAAACAAGGACACAGACAATGGCCAATCCTTTAGTCTGGGTTAACAGAATGGAGCTTATGAAGCAGAGGAAGGGAATGGCGAGGTAGACTAGAACTAAGCTAAGGGCAGCGTGGACACAACTGTGCACTGAGGTGTGGCAACCGTATATCAATACTGTAAATGCTAACACTACTGTCAGCAGTAACTTACAATAATACAGTAACATTAACTATAAGAACGTCTTTTTGGAAAAAAAAGACCCTGGAAGATAATAGAAAATAAACACCTACATGATAGATTCTTTTTTAACAAGCAACTACACGTCACCTATAATGTCCCTTAGAGGTCACACTGGAAAGGATGTCGGTGGGGGTATGATGCCACCAACAGGTCAACCTGTACCTGTGGGGCGAGTGCATCAGCAACCTGATGGTACCTTCAGGCTTCCTGACACCCCAAAATTGCCGCTGTGCCTTTGGCTGGACCCTAACAACTTGGAACCAAGTTTACCAAGAATTTAAACAGCCAAAAGTTAGGTATGTAGGAGTCACACCCACAAACCACCTCCGGCTCAGCTATACAAGCTCACTTACTGGCCTTATCTCAGAGACCCATAGATAAATCTCCAAAGAGATCAAAAACCACAGTTAATCTTGAACCCAGGCATGGCAGAACAGACTGGGGTAAATCAGAGGGGGGCAGGTTGGCCTATGCCTGCCCAAGCAGAGCCTTCAGCAGTCATGTGCTTCCACAATCCAAAACTACCACCATACCGCCAGCCTAACTCCACTGTCCCAGAACGAACCTCACCAAGATATAATCTGCTGAAAATTCGGGTACGTGGGTTTTGTGACTAAAATCTCCAGGCTTCCATGGAGTTGGGGTGGGCTACCTCCCCCCGACTTCCCAATACACATGAAAGCGCTGGCAGTCACCCCCACAAACCAACTCCAGCACCACCCTATAAACTCTATTACTGACCTTGCTTCAGAGACCCATAAACAAATCTTGAAAAAAATCAAATGCCAGACACATAGCAACAAGTCTCAGAAGACACCATAGAGCCAGAGATCTCTCCAGGCCCCATACCAAGCCAATTTCACTAGGGTACTCCAGAAGGAGTAGGTGTGGTCTCCCCACCTACTCCAGATGGAATCTCTGCGACCAAGAGCTTCCACAAGCAAGGCCCAGGTATGCAGGTTCCAGGACTAATCTCCGTGCCGCGTGGCAGCAGAAGTGCCGGGATGTCCCTCCCCAGGTCCCGGCCTGCACATCAGCCTGACTGTCACCTCCACAATGTGCCTCCGGGCACCATCTTAGAGCACCAACAGCCTTGGTCCAGAGAAGCCTAACTGAATCCCAAAATCGATTAGTGCCCTAGAGAAAGGTCTCTGGAACCCAACCATTTACAATCTAAGATTCCAGAAGAGTGTGGCCACGGCACCCAAGATATTAAAAATGAGCAACGGACAATAAATGATCTAGTATCTGCCCCTGGCATGCAGGCTGAAAGGTGGTGGGAAAATTCAAGCAAAACATAATGCCCAAAAGTAGAGAAATTGGGGAAATTGCCTGCCGCAGAAGCAGGGTTAAGATTGGGATGGGGTAGGGTGGATATACAAGGGACACTGGTGGTGGAAAGTGCACTGGTGGAGGGATGGGTGTTTGATCATTGTACAGCTAAATCTCGAACATGAAAGCTTTGTAACTGTATCTTATGGCGATTCAATAAAGAAGAAAATAAAATAAAAAGAAATTAAGGATTAGTAACAACACAAAAACAGTCCCCTAATTCCTGATTTGAGTCCACACTTCCTTCAATTAATTTTGCTCACATTTTTTATTAGCAGTTAAATAACTAAACATACTTGGCAACTACGCAAAATGTTAGACTAGGAGCCCAAGAGATCGCTCAAAGGGCTGAGTACATGCAAAGATGCACAAGGGAGGCCCAGCTTCAATCCCCAGTACCACACAACTCCCCCGAGCACCACCAGGAGGAGTGACTTCTGAGCGCAGAGCTTGGAGCAGCCCTTTGGACCACAAACAAAAAGTGCTATGCTCTAAATAAGTTCACCTCAGAAAAACATCATTTGCTCCAGTGGTACACAATGAAGCAGGGACCGGCTGTAAGCTTTGGGAAACAAAACAAAATTTACTTTTAATAAACAAGTTTTATTGAACAAGAAAACAAACATTTATTTATGTATTAATTAGGGTCGCTTGCAGGGCCAACTGGCAGGATATTTGCAACCAGAACATGTGGACCAGAGAGCCCCAAACATTTACTCTTTGGACCTTTACAACATCTGCCAGTCCCCGGTGCAAAGGAGATGGATAAAGTGGAATAAAAAACTAAATTTAAGATTAACTCCTACTGCACAGACCCACAAAACAGTAACATAGAAAGGCACAACATTGTAACTATAAATAAAATAAATAAACAGTTGCTTATTCAGCTGACGAAAATATATTTCTCGTATGAAAGTGGTCTTCATCCATAGATCCTGGCTCAAGTTCTGAAAAGCCTCAGTTTCCTAAGTGCTGAGAGTGATAAAGAGGTCTGGTTAAGTAAATGAAGTAGTTAACTGCAAAGTGTCAGATGATGGCAGGGCTGGCTGCCAAGAGAACCAACTCCGTGATTGGTGGGTTGGAACTTTTACTGCCACCCCAGACCTCCGGGGCGGGAAGAAGGGCTGGAGGTTAGATTAGCCGCGGATGGTTTAATCAATCATGCCTACATAATGAAGTCTCCATGGCAACTGAGGGGAAGGGGTTTGGGAGAGCTTTACGGATTGGTGGACACGTTGGAGATTTCGGGAGATGGTGTGCCTCGTGAGGGCACAAAGGCGCCGTGCCTTTCTCTAAACGCGCCCCAACGTTTCCTGACTTATGCACCGTAACAAACTAGTGATCTGGTGGGAAAACCGATCCCCTGGGTTACGTGAGTTACTCTAACAAATGAACGGAAACGAGGAAGTGGGAAGCTCTGTAAAAAGCCCAGGTCCCCAGGAGACGAAGCCCTTCAATGTGGCAGTTGACGCTGGAGACAGTGTCAGTTCTAAGGGGACCCCTCACACACCCTGTTGGTGTCTGGGAATTGCTTAGCGCGCGAGGAAGCCTCAGCACCCACACAGGACGTAGCAGCAGGACAACGAAACATGCAGAAATACGCTGCTTCAAAAGAAGCAAAAAGCTGCAACTCTAGTCAGCCCAGAGCCTGTTATGCTCACGATGAAAGCCATGCATGTGCTCATCCGCCCGACCGCGAGCAATCACCTCTCTCTCTCTCTTCTCCTGTCTCTTCTGCTCTTCCTCGGCTCTCTCTTTTCTCTGCTGTTCTTCCCATTCTTCCTTTAGTTTTCTCTTCACCGGAGGTAAAAAAAAAAGAAGGAAAGAGAAATATTTGTCAGGTTCATTCTTTGAAGACGTTTAACATACGAGGCAAAAAAATAAAAGGCTTAAACTACAATGGTAAAACGGACAATGCCCATCCTGTAAAGATACGTACCCCTTACCAAGAGCCATTCTGGTTAACTGGTTATTATCATACCTCCTGTTCTTCCTGCCGTTTTCTAATTGCCTCCTCTCTTTCCTTCTTCATTCTAAATTCTTCTTGTGCCTTCTCCTCCCGCAGCAACCACTCCTTATGCAATCTTTGCCTATTGATAGAATGAGGTAATCAAATTAAATGAATGAGCTTTAATGTGTAACACACACACATGATAGCAAAATTAGACATTTGGGAGCCCTCAAGTTATCATGGAAGCTACTTTGCAGAAAACCGCTGAGTGGGAGTTAGTGAAACAGAATATTTAAGTAACCATCCTGGATAATCCCATTTCAGCAACCATTCTCTTCGCGGGTTGCAGCTTAAAAACTCTATATCTACATTACGTGGACAGTGATAACTTTTACATAAAACAGTACGGAACTACAACCTTCCCTTCAGGTTGATCGTAAATGTTTTTAAGTGCCAATAAAGTCAGTAAGATGTTTCAAAGCAACGTTTAGTTTCTCATCTTCAGTCCTGCCCTTCTTAGGGTGTGCTCATTTTTTTCTGGTACCTGGGAACTCAATCTTTGGCCTCATAAACACAGGCACACACTCTACCTGAGCGCATCGGAGCAGATCTACCCACATGCCATGCATTTTCAAAGAAACAATCACAGGATTGCAGCTTCATGAAAACCTGGTATCCTATGTTATAACCTGTCCACCGCTACTTTGTACAGTTACAGGACTCCTATGGTTTACCACCAAATCCTTAAACTGAGGAAAGAAAATTAAAACAACATTGTAATATACCTTAAAGGAAAAAGCTATCATTTTGAGGGGGGCAATAACTGGGAGTGCTCAGGGGCAATCTCCTTGCTTGAGACTCAGAGACTGCTCCTGGGCCTCTTGCAAGCAGAGCGTGTACTCCAGCCTTTGTGCTAATTTATTGGACCATTTTGCTTTTTAAGTGGAGGGGGGGTTCCCAAGCAGTGCTCAGGGAACAAGGGGAACCTCTCCTAGTAAGACAGCCAACCAGACTGAACACTTCTTTTTTGTAATTGTTTTGGGGCACACCCGGCAGTGCTCAGGGGTTACTTCTGGCTCTATGATCAGATTTCATTCCTGGCAAGCTTGGGGGACCGTAGGGGATGCCAGAATCAGACACGGGTTGGCTGCAAGCAAGGCAAGCACCTTAGCTGCTGTACTATCTCCCAGACTGAACATTTCAATGCTAGGGCCTAAAGAGGCAGTACTGCTAAGGCCCCATGGTGCCAGGGAACACCAGGACCACATCTAGAGATGGCTAGGATTATTCCCAGGGCTACTGCTGGCAGCGTGGGGGTGCATAGGCTGCCGGAGATCAATCCAGGTGTTAAGTATGCACTCCTGACCCCTATGCTATCTCCCTGCCCTAACCTACAGGTTTTTAAAAAAGATGAGTACAAAAAAATGAGTGGGTTTCTGATTTATTTTGCTAAAAGACCAATTACAAACACCAACATTACCTTGGAAAAACAAATGTCTTAGAAACTCTATATTATACACGATGGGTTATATTTCAAAAGTTTATTAGCAAAGTGAGTGCTAGAAAACACCACATTTCTTCTGAATTTATAAAAAAAATCAAATTTTCTCTATTACTTCAGTAATAAAAACTCAAGGTTTTATGCTACTCTGGGGGATCCTAAACTAAATTTCAAATACCTTATGAGAAAAACATATTCCATCTCCAACCTCAGATGCCAAGAAACCATGTTTTAGCCATGGTAGAAACTGCCAGATTGCATGTGTCTTAGAGGGCAATGTTTTTCCAACCTCCTTTCCAGTGTTGGGCCACAGAAATTACCTGCCATCATGCAAAAAAATTGTTGTTTCACTAACTGGGTTTTCAACCATTGCCCCAGGGACTAGTGGTGGTGTACAGGTACCAAAAAAAGGCTGAAAAGTGTGACAGGGTCAGGGATGTTCTCAGGCCAGAGTGTTCTGAGATACACTGCCGAACGACATTATGGATCCCTCTTCCTGCATTGCCCACAGGGTACCATCCATCTGTTTCCATCAGCATGCTGGAGTCTTGCCCTTCTATGTCCCACAGAGCTCCTAATATCAGAGCCTCTCCAAACCCTTCATCTCCAGCTTTGAACTTTGTATGCATTTCAGAGAGAACATCCCTTCCTGTATATGGGGCTAATGAGTATGAATTCTCTGTTTTGTCTGTGCTTAGGGTCCAGTTCCTGGAGCATAAGCTTGGCAGGGTCTGCCATCGTAAACAAATCCTGCTTCCAAAGCTTTACAGTGAGAGCTTGGTTTTTCCTAATCTAATTAAGCAAAATTCCACAACAATGAGCATGTACAGATGCTTCCCAGGGTATCAATTACATATAAGCTTAAGTGTACATGAACTTAAGACCAAAAAAAAATAAAATATTACGTTACAACTTAATAACCTGAATATACTATTGAAACTGGAATTCTGAACACATATAATTCCATCAAATCCCTGCATTATGAGTATGGCTTCTGGCAGAAGGCAGTGTCTCTAGACTGGCCCCAAGCCCCTAAATAGCCCCCTAGCCACTACTAGGTCACATGATGATAGGTCCCTGGAAACCTTCCAAAGGGCCTGTGATTGTGATTATGTTCAGAAGCACCTCTCCTAAGGAACAGAGGAGCATTCTTCGGGAAATGTAACCACCGAGAACAAGGCTAAGCAGGGCTGTAGTTCAGTGATAGGAGGAGTGCCTGGCCTTGGGTTTCATCTTCAGCCCACACATTCCCCCCACCTCACATGACTAAAAAGGACAAGGATTTTGGTGCAAGTTTGAAACTGAGATAATGGATAAAACAATGCTACTTTAATAAACAAAATTAAAAATAAAAAGATAAAGCTTGTCTCCCAGGCTCTGTGGGAACAGACTGTCCCACCTTCCCTAACTGCAAGCTAACAAACACAATAGCCTAGTTACATTTACTCCAGGCAGCCCTTTGGTATTTCTTCCTCTTATCTGAGTCTCCTGGGCCTCTGCACGCCTGTGTCCTCATTCTGCTTTTCAAAGACCTAGAGCACCTCTGCACAAATCAGAACAGAATTTAGTTCTTTCTTTCCTCTACTGCCAGGAGGAACTGAATAAAATCTGTTCTCACCCCTTTAATGCCTGGCAAGGGCTACCTCTGACACCGTATATTGACTTAAAGTAGTACAGAAGCTACATGATATTTTTGCATCATTAAGTTTCCAGCTTTTCAACATAACTATTAACGCAGAGGAACAGACAAAGAGCAAAGGAACACAGATAAATGCTTTGTGATTTAACACATTGCCACTGGCACTGCAATTTGTGTACGTCCAGCCACACAGGTGCAAGTCACAAGTGGTACACACTGGCATCAACGTGTTAAAAGAAGCATTTCCCGAAAAAGGGGGGGAAGGATTTTAAAAATCGCCTGCCAATTTCATACCACATATATCATTTTCTCCTAACAGAAAACTAGAACAACTAGAGTTATCACAAAATCTTCAACCCGTCAGCACCATACTATACTCCTATAACCGTATTTAACCATCCCAGTTCTATGAGGTAAGTATAGGTACCATGATTGATTTTACCTCGTTTATGGTAAAGAAGGGCTGGAGTGATAGCACAGCGGGTAGGGCGTTTGCCTTGCATGCGGCCGACATGGCCGACCCGAGTTCGATACCTCCGCCCCTCTCGGAGAGCCCGGCAAGCTACCGAGAGTATCTCGCCTGCACAGCAGAGCCTGGCAAGCTCCCCGTGGCATATTCAATATGCCAAACACAGTAATAATTGTCACAATGGAGACGTTACTGGGCCCGCTCGAGCAAATCAATAAACAACGGGAGGACAGTGACAGTGATGGTAAAGAAACATAAGCTGAGAGAGATGAAATAGCCTGAACATAGCTCAGGGCCAGAACTGGAATTCAGATCTGGCTAAATCTAATTGTACATTTCTGCTCGCTACTACACTTTTTGTGGGTTTTATTTTTTTTGGTCTTTTTAGTAACTCTACCTATTTATGTAGTTAACTAGGTAACTGAAATTAAATACAAGAAGCAGTATTTCCAGTGAATGCACTCAACAGCTGGAAGGTGTATACAAAGTTTTCCTCCTAATTGAAAATTTTAATCAAATTTTATTGTGTAAAAAATATATATATAGATATATACCACAAATGTTACCATTTTAGCCCATTAAAATGTACAATTTAATACCACTAAGCCATTTAACATTACTGTGTACCATTTTAAAAACTTATCCCCTGAAAAAGACTGAAAGATAAAATAAGGAGGGCCAGGGAGACAGGACAGGGGTCAAACTCAGCTTCAATCATTGACACCACACGGCCCTGCAAGCATTGCCAGGTGCAGCCCTGGAAGCTCCCAAGCAATACTCGAGTGGTCTGTTCTCCAGAACCACAGGGCCCAAGAGGTATCACATCCTCAGACCTTAGCACTGAATTGCAACCCAGTTGGCAATCACCAGGACCCAGACCCCTTGAGTACCACCCCTTTCCAGTTAGTACATTTTCATCATCTTGGAATGGGAGAGAACTTTCTAAGTCAGACACCAAGTTCAGATACGTTAAGTGATATGAAAAATCATACCATGATAATGCCACGAGCAAAGAACTGATGGCAAATGACAAAAATATATATAACACATATGACAGATAAAGGATTAATATCCATATTCAGATAATAAAGTGGTGAAAGAAACTGAAGATATGAAGAGAAAGTTATTCCATGCTCACAGATAGAAAAATACTGTTAAAGTCTCTAAATGACACACAGCAATAGAAAGAATCAGTGAACTCCTCCTTTCACCAAAACAGAACAAATAACAAAAGTTGTGTGGAACCCCAAGAATGCCCAATAGTCAAAGCTATCTTGAAAAGTAAGAATAAAGCTAGAGGCACCACATTTTGTGCTTTCAAACTAGACTGAAGAGCTGGGGAGCTTACAGATTCCACATGCTTTGCATGCAGACGCCCTGAGTTTGATCTCCAGAACCACACAGTCCCATGAGCACAAATGGGAATGACCCCCCACCCCCCAAGCAATACCCTAGGAGTAGTAAGGCCCCAAGCACCGCTGGGTATGGACCAAAAACAAAACCAAAAATATCCAAAAACAAAGCTACCTATAACTATCAAAATAGTATGGTACTGGCAAGTAAAACAGGCAGATATCAACAAAATCAAGTCAAATAATCCCACACACACATTCCCAATTAACTCAAGACAATGGAGTCAGAAATACACAAGGGCATTAATAGTCTTCGCTGAATGTCAGAAAAACGGGCCTACAAAAAACTCAAATGAAGACTGAAACATTCATGGGCCAAAGCAATAGCACAGCAAGTAGGGCGCCTGCCTTTCACACGGGCCCATCCAGTTTTGATCTGCCGCGTCACCTATAGCATCCCATTAAGTCCCCTGAGCACCAGCAGGAGTAATTCCTGAGTGCAGATTCAGAAGCAACCCCTGAGCATTGCTGGGTGAGGCACAAAAACAAAAGAATGAGACAGTCATACAAACGAATAACATCAGATTACCATTTTATACATATACATTTAATCCATATTGAAGTTAATTCAATATGGATTAAAGACCTGAAAACGAGCCTCAAATCCAATCCATCAGACTCTGAAAAGAGACCTCCCCCAGCAAGTGGGGGGGGCGTAGAGATATTACAGTGGGTAAGGTTCTTCCCTTGCATGAGGGTCAAACTGGGTATGATCCTCAGCACCAGATATGGTCCCCCAAGCTCCGCAAGGAGTAGTGCCAGGAGAAGTCCCTGAGCACCAAACCAGGAGAAAGCCCCAAGCAATGCCAGATGTGGGCCCCCCACAAAAAAACTGAAAATACAAGCAGAAAGCTACTTGATATAATCTTGGCAATGATTTTCAGTTTCAGTTCCACAGCAAAGGAAATCATCAAGAAAAGGCAACCTGTAACGGGAAGAAATTATCTGCATATCTCCAATAAAAGGTGACTATCCAGCACATAATGAATTCACATAACAGCAAAAGGGCAGACATTCCATGGGACCCCCCCCCAACCACTCTCTTCTCTCTCCATAGGGCCCCTCTTCTTGCTCACAATGCGGACACTCCAATTAAAAATGGGCAGATGGTCTAAATAGAATTTTCCCGCAAGGAAGACACACATATGGCCAGCAAGTTTAAGAAGAGACAAGATTTTCAACATCACTACTATCAAGAAAACACAAATAATGAGTTACCACCTCAATCCTGATAAAATAGCTGTTATCAAAAAAAATAAGAAATAACAAGTGCTGGTTAGTGTGTGAAGAAAAGGGGGCCCTCAATGCACAGGAAGGTAATGTAAACTGACAGGAATATAAACTGGTACAAACAACTATGGAATAATGTCACTGTCACTGTCCTTCCGTTGTTCATCGATTTGCTCGAGCGGGCCCAGTAATGCCTCCATTGTGACACTTGTTGCTGTGTTTGGCATATCAAATACATCACAGGTAGTTGTTTGCCAGGCTTTGCCTTGCAGGCGAGATACTCTCGGTAGCTTGCCAGGCTCTCCGAGAGGGGCGAAGGAATCAAACTCAGATCAACCATGTCGGCCGCATGCAAGGCAAAAGCCCTACCTGCTGTGCTATCACTCCAGCCCATGGAATATGAAAGTTCTTTTTTAAAAAAGTGGACCTACCATATTATGCAGTCATTCCACCAAGCATTAACCCCAAGATGAAAATTCTAATTAAAAAATGTACATCTCCATGATCACTGAAGCATAATTTACAATAACCAAGATACGGAAACAACCTATGAAGTCCATCAATGGTTGAATGGACAGAAAAAAATGTGATATAGGCCCGAGGAGACTACTCAAAGGGCTGGAGCAAATGCTTGTCATGCTGGTAACCCAGGTTCAATCCCAAAACTGAATGATTCTCACAGAATCTATGTACTAAGAGGAGTGACCCCACACACCACAAGGTGTGACCCCCCTACAAACAAAAATAAAATCTGACATATACACAGGATAATATTTATTTAAAAAACCTGAAAGAATGCAATCTTGCTATTTATAACAAACGGATGGGACCTGAGAACGTCATGCTAAGTGGAATAAGACAAAAGTCACAGAGTATGATCTCACTTCAATGTGGCACCTGAAACAACCACCAAATTCACGGAGAACAGATTTGTGGTGGTGGATGGGAGAAAAGGATGAAGAGAATCAAAAGACAAAAACTTTCAGTTAAAAACTAAGTCCAGGGGCTGGAGCAATAGGACAGCAGGTAGGACATTTGCCTTGCATGCAGCCAACCCAGGATCGATTCCCAGCATCCCATATGGTCCCCTGAATACCATCAGGAGTAATTCCTAAGTGCAAAGCCAGGAGTAACCCCTGTGCATCGCCAAGTGTGACCCAAAAAGAAAAAAAACAACACAACCAAGTCCCAATGTCCATTCATGTATAAGCAAATTTCGTGACTTCATTATTCCTATGAAGTCACAGTATTCAGCTGCATAGTATTCCATTGTGTAGACGTAGCAAGTTTCTTTATCCAGTTGTCTGTTCTTGGGCACTAGGGTTGTTTCCAGATTCTGGCTATTCATGCTGAGTGAAATGAGTCAGAAAGAGAGGAACAGACATAGAATGATTCCCTTCACTTATGGGATAGAAAATATCCAAAGCCAGGGAAAACAGGGGCCAGAAGGAAATGGGCAATCATTAAAAGTGTGTGGGGTGCAAAGCGTAGTTAGGATAGAGAAGGGAGCAGCATGACAATAATAGTTGGAAATGATCACTCTGGACAAGAAGTGAATGTTACAGAAGTAGAGAAAGGCATTTACATGATAGCCTTTCAGATCTGTATTGCAAACCATAATACCCAAAAGGAGAGAGAGAAGAGAAAGGAGGGAGGAGAGAGGAAAAAGAAAGAGAGGAGAAAGAGAGAAACCCAAGTCCTTGGAAGTAAAATATATATCACAGTGTATATATCCTACACTGCATATTTGAAGTTTCTAAGAGAATACAGCTTAAAAGTTCTCAACACTGGGGCTGTAGCAATAGCACAGCAGGTAGGGCATTTGTCTTGCACATGGCCGACCCAGATTCGATTCCCAGCATCCCATATGGTCGCCTGAGCACCGCCAGGAGTAATTCCTGAGTGCAGAACCAGGAGTAACCCCTGTGCAATGCCGGGTGTGATCCAAAAAAAAAGTTCGCAACACTAAAAAAATTTCAATTTATATACAGAGCTGGGGCAATAGCACAGCAGACAGGGCATTTGCCCTGCACGCAACCAACCCGAGTTCAATTCCTTCGCCCCTCTCGGAGCCTGGCAAGCTACTGAGAGTATCTCGCCCGCACAGCAAAGTCTGGCAAGCTACCCGTGATGTATTCAATATGCCAAACGCAGTAACAAGTGTCACAATGGAGACATTACTGGGCCCACTTGAGCAAATCGAAGAAGAACAGGAGGACAGTAACAGTAACAGACAGAGACATATTAACAAGACTTATGATGGTGGGAATTCAGTGATATATAAATTATGAAATCATGCTATATATCGGGAATAGTCATTTCCCCCAAAATTAGCGACACTGCTTATAGAACTTTTAAAATGTATCCCAAAAGAAAATGGTAGAAGACACAAGCAATCTACAAGTATGTAATATGATAATAATCAAAGTTACCAAGAAATATAACGAAATATTTAATTAAAACATTTCATCATATGAATTGAAAAAGAAATCACTGTCAACGAAAATATGGGGAGATGGTTATCTTAATATGTTGTCAGAAGGGCTGCAAACTCAGAATCCCATTTACCCAGTCACCTACAGTCTATGTTTACCTATCCATTAGCTCCAACAACTTAATTTCTAGGTGTTTTCCTCAGGAAACAATTGGACAATTACCAGGGAGATGTATATGAATCAGTGCTTCCTAAAAACGGGTGGTACTAGCCCCATCCAGGGACGCTGGAATTAGTGCTGGGGCAGTGGCCTTGGGAGCAACTGGAAGGCACTAAGTGATATTTTTATATTTTTCTGAAAAAGGAGTGGTAGCTCAAGGAAGTCTGGGAACTCAAGTGCTCATTATTTTTTTGTTTGTTCGTTTTTGTTTGGGGGCTACACCCAGTGATGCTCACATGGTACTCCTGGCTCTGCACTTAGGAATTCGTGGTGGTGCTCGGGGGACAATATGGGATTCTGGGGATCAAACCCGGGTCGGCTGCTTGTCCTATCTGCTGTACTATGGCTTTGTTCCGCCCTCCCCCGGCCCTTATTCCACCTTTAATATAATTGTGAAACACCTTGATGTAAGGTAATGGTAAATTAACAATAAAGAATAATATTGGGTTTTATTATTTTTTATTAATAAAGAATAAGCCCTGGGTTCAAATCCCAGCACTGCAAAAACAAAAGAACTATAAATAGTAAGTGAATGTTATTTAATAGTAAATTCTCTTGAATTCTATCAGAGGAAATAAAGCTCATAAATAAATTATGTTACTTCTAGTGGGTAACTGGATACTACATCAATAATTGGATACTACATTGATAAAGTGACTGAATCAGACCTCTAATCAGCTGTGAAATATGTCCTGTATTCTGAGCAAAAAAAGTAACTTAGAAAAATGCCTAATTATAACAACATTTAGAAATAGACATGTACTTATCAACTGAACTTTCTTAACACTCTAAACAGTTGTGTATCTTAGGGTCTTTTAGTCACTGAAGTGATTTCATTCATTTGAATGTTTTTTCAAAAACACTTTGAATCAGAAAAAAAGTGAAAAATACCACCATTTATTAAAAAAATAACAGCATCTAGGTTTAGTCTGTCAGCTAAAAATTTAAATGGTTTATCTGGAATACTTTATAGACCTATTTCGAACAGGAGTTTATGAATAAGGCCTGTACTGCATGGTAAAGACTTTCATTATTCTAGAAAATAAACAAGATCATGAGAAGTGTGTATCAGTGCTGACCTCTCCATCTCCTCCAGCCTCTCTTCTTCCAGTCGTTTTTCTTCATCAATGGTATCCTCTTCCTCCTCTTGTGCAAGTTCTGAGGAAAAGTTACATGTTTAATTAAACTATCTGAGTAGTACAAAAGCCTTGATCAATAATCTAGGGGGGCAAAGTAGTTTTACTCTTTCTTAGAATCATGGTATGAAATGTGCTTTAAAACTTGTTAATAAGGATTCAACAATGCGGTACAATGTGAGCACCAATCCCCTCCAACCCTCCCACAAATACAATAGTAGAAAACATGTTAAACTTTAAAATATTGGGGCCAGAGCGATACTTCAGGAATTAAGGTGCTTGCCTGCAATGCGGCTGACCCTGGTTTGCTCCCTGGCACCATATGGTCCCTGAGCATGACATGCAACCATGCAGGCCCCTGGTACCATCGGGCCCTGGCACTGAACTGCTGGACTTCCAGGAGCGGACCAGAGGCCTCCTGAGCAATGCTTGGGAACACCCTCCCCCAGGCCAAAAGCACCCGAACAGCTACACAGTTATACTCAAAAAGATAGTGCGGCTTGGGCTAGAACAACTCCCTTCTTTCAAGAAGAAAGGCAGCTAAGAATTGTAGAAAAACTTGAGAGATAAAAGTCATCGTTTTGCAAACACCCCACAGGGAGAACTGAGACCAAGATATGAAAATTAGCAGATAAGAGCTTGTTAGAAAGAAAATATTCATTCCATCTCAAAATGCACCCACAGATGAGTACTTCTTACAAAACAGGGGGAAAAAAACTTTCCAAAAGAGCAATTTGACGGCAATACTTGTTAACACTTAGCTGAAGAGTGAAATGCCTAACACAGGACCCTGCTGTGTACTATGAGAAGCAAACAGCAGCTGCTTTAGGGCAACCTCAAGCTCATTAGGAGATGCAGGCTGAACTATTAGGAGGGAGGGGTCATGATGCATGCAACTCATATGCACAGGGTCCGGGGGAAATTATTTTTCTATATGCAGAGAGAAGGAGAGAAAGTATTAAAGGGCTGAGTGGCTTGGGATCAAGTCTGAGTTCCAGCCCCAGCATTGCACGGTCTCAAGGAGGGATCGCTCGGGATGGGAGATGTGTGCTGAAAGTAGATAAAGGACTAAACATGATGGCCTCTCAGTATCTGTATTGCAAACCATAATGCCCCAAAGTAGAGAGAGTATGTGAGAAATTTTCTGCTGTAGAGGCAGAAGGAGGAGTGGGATGGAGAGAAGGGATACTGGAAACACTGGTGGTAGAAAACGTACACTGGTGGAGGGATGATTATACTGAAACTCAAACATGAAAGCTTAGCGACCAGGAGCCCAGAGCTGGGAGAAGTCCCTCAGCACACCAACTGTTGCACAAAAACAACTTTTAAACCAAGCTGAAGGGTTCATGGATTTTTGGGGCGCTCAGAGCCTCTCAGACCACAGTCAGCAATGGCTGGGAGCCCAAGTGGTACCCAGGATCAAACCCAGGTGCCTTATCCCCTGTACTATCCTCCTGACCAAGTTCATAGATATTTATTGCACCCCCATTTTTCAATTTTCTATAAACTGAATTTTTAAAAATTGAAACATAGAATAATAATTTTTAATAGCACAAAAACATATCCTCTCCTATTTAAAACAGAATTTTGAAAGGAAAAGGGGGAACCACAGAAGAAATTCATTACAGATAGATCTCAGGGTTAGAGGAAAAAGATTCTGTCTGTCACATACATTACAAAGTTAACCAACAACCAACTCACCTAGTCCTAGATACTTTTTTGGTTCCTAAGCGGGTAAACTATTATCTCAGCACCCAACTTAATAAGATGCTTAACTTTATTTTTAGTTTAAGGTAAACTGTAACTCACATAAATATTGAGTTATTCAGATAAAATATTCATGGATAGGGCTATCGAGGGTCCTTGGACTTACAGAGGTATACAGTAGATTAGACCCTGTCTGGAAACAGCTGATACTTAAACAATACCAGCCCCCATCCTCCCTCACACCAGGCTCATGCCACAGAAGCGATCACCACCAACAGTCCTAAGAAGGAACATTCTCTTCATGTATAAACAAAGAGCTTTGAGTATAATATATCTATACAATATCCACCGTGTGCATGTTTGTAATATATTTATCTATCTATGCTTCAGTTTTATAACTTTTTATACTTAATGCTATTTTTCTTTTTTGGCTTCGGGGGCCACTCCCAACAGTGCTCTGGGGTTGAAGTGGAGGCACGGGGGACCGAAGCCAGCTGCAAAGCATGCACTTAGCCTGTTGAGGTAGCTCTCTGCCTAACTTAATGTTAATTTCTGACAAGCTCAACTCCTTTTAGATTATTTTAAGTAGAACTGGGTGCTAGAGAGGCAACATGTAGTTCAGACGGATATTCCAGAAAACCCCACCAAGGACTTGCAGCAATGATCTTTCTAGTTTAGCTTTCTGAGTATTATCTGCCTTGCCAGTGTGTGCCACCATGTCACAGTATTTAGGGGGACACGAGATCCATAAAGTACAACCATAAGGAATTGGGTTAAAGTGGGCAAAATAAGAGTAGTTCAGAGACAAGTGTTTGCGCTAGATGGATCATTATCTCTGTCATTTGGAGCAGACCAGTGACCTGCATTCTTCAACTGACAGCGAGATCCACTTGTTGCTACACTGTTACTGCAAAAGCACATACCCGGTAAAGCAAAACAGCATTTTTCAGATTTTAAATGAAGGGAAGTAAAAATCAAAGAGGCATTGTTTGTTGTTGTTTTTTTTAAAAGCAGGGGCCAGGGATGCAGTTCAGTGGTAGAGCCCTAACCTAAACTTGCATGTATGAGGTTCCGGGTTTGATCCCTGACGCCACAAAGTCAGTTAACTTTACTTTTTTAAAAGCACATTAGAAGAAAACAGGTTGCTAAGAACTTTACGGCCTTACTGGACACACTAGCATTAGTGTTAGTGTGGGACCTTCTGTCCTATTTTCCCTTTCATCCCAGTACTTTATACCACCTCCTAAGGAATAGTTCTGAATTCCTAAAAAAGAAATGCTTATTGAACGCCTCTCTTGGAGAGCCCGGCAAGCTATCGAGAGCATCTCGCCCGCACAGCAGAGCCTGCCAAGCTATCCCGGATGTATTCGATATGCCAAAAACAGTAACAACAAGTCTCACAATTTGTTGCGAGATGCTACCGGTGCCTGCTCAAGGATGAACAACGGGAGGACAGTGCGACAGTGCTACAGTGCTAATACGAGTTGCAGAAAAAAAAACCCACAATGCTGATAAGCATCCCAGCCACTGCTACAAAAATCCTTGGTGGGCAACCAAGATGGTCAAGAAAGGCTCTACGGGCCTGTTTCTCAGGCCTCAGGATCCTAAAAACGAGGTAATGGGCTGCTGGACTTCCTAGAAACTGTCTAGAAAAATTTAGGAAGCGGAGTCTGCATAACCTAAATAGAAACATTACAACCGCAGTACTGCAGGCCAGTTCAATATTCCCATCTGCCCTCTATTCCCTGTTTCATTTCCTTCAACTTATAGTACCAATACCATTGAATTAAAGTCAGGCTTATTATATAAATTCTAGGTTCTGTCCTATAAAGGCCCAATGACGCAATGGCCAGCACAGATGAAGGTGCTGGGGCATTTTAACGACACCGCCTCCGACAGTCGAAACTCAACATCAGTGCTATCTGCATCATCCCTCCCCTTCAGCGACAGGGGTCTCTCATCTTCCTGGCAGTGCCATGTCGCTGGTTTTGAGACCCCCCCTTGGAGTCCAACAGAAACTGCCTTTGCGGAGGATCCACTGATCAGCCCCCATCAAAGCCGCGCAACAAGAACCCGGAGCAACGAAGGGTGTCTTGGGCCACTCGCGTTGGACCAGAGCTCAACAAGTCCTGCGAAAACCCCCCGGACGGTTACTAGCTGCACAAAGACAGTTATTCCCAGGATCCTCCGCGTGGAGCCGGCGCTGCGCAGCTGCCCAGGACCGTTACCCCAGCGACAACGGAAACACAGGCACGCGACCGCGACCGTTATTTCATTGCCCCTCATCGGCAACGATCGCTGTGGTTCTCACCAGCCCCCCTGTCCTACTACGACCCCTGAACTGTCACCTGGCGGCGGGGGGGGGAGGGGAGGGGAAAGCCAGCGATTTCGCCCCGACGGCACCCCCAGATGGGGGGAGGGGGGCATCACCTGCATCTCTCAGGCGGGCGCGCTCCTGCCGGCGCTTCTTGCGTCTCTCTTTGTTCAGCATCGCCCGGTATTTCTTGTGGCTGGAAGAGAAGGGAGACAAGCGGCCGCGAGGCGCCGTCAGTGGCGGCGGCTCCCGCGACTCCCCTCTTCCCGCGCGCCCCAAGTCGCCGACGGGCTGGAGAGGGAAATCTCGCGCCCCGGGTTCGAATGCGTGCCACGGACACGAGCCATCACTTCGCCCTTCCACTCCCAGCCGGAGCGTCGTCTCCGAGCCGCCACCTGTTTCCCTCCGGACCCCCAGCGCCTTCGCGAACTCACAACCGTCGGGGGGGAGGGGGCGGGGCGGGACCCCGAGAAAGAGCGGCTCGCGCGGCCGCCGTGGCCCGTTCACTCGGGTCAGTCCCGGTTTCCTCACGGCCCATACAGTTTCCACGCCGAGGCCCAGCCATCCCCTCTTCTGGTCCGTTCACGGCCCGCTTCGGTCCGGCTTACCTCATTTTCGGCGGAGCACCCGGATCAGGGGTCGCCATCTTCGCGGCGCTGCCACGCCCCCGAGAGCCGAGCGGAAGAAGCGGGGTTAAAGAGGGCGGTGTTGCGCGTGCGCAGAGCGGCGGGGCCGCTGTGAACTTCCGCCGGAGCGAACCAAAGACAGACCAGGGGGTTCCCGAAAGTGACTCCTCTTCCAAAACCCCGCGCAAGTAAGCATCTCCTTCCAGAAAAGAAGTCGTCCGAGGTTTTTTCCACGCTGTGAAAACGATTCTTCCCGTCTAACGCTCCTCGATGCTTTGTTACTACCTCTCCCACGTCATAATAGAGTCACACCCCTCCTACTTCTCATTCACCCACGAACCCTCATCCACGCCCACTGGACCGCCCAATTTCCCAGTCAGTCTCCTCCCAGCTCAGCCTCCTTCCCACGTGTCTCCCACCCTGGGAAAGCTGATCCCACTCATTTCCGCTCACACTGCTGGTCCTTAGACTCGGGAACTCGACCCCCTGGGGTGGCAGATTTACATCTGTGGGATTTACACGCTAAACTCGGCTTCCATGGGATTGACATCCCAGTGGAAGACCGGCAGGCAGCAATCCGTAGATTATATGGCACTAAAGCAGCAAGCAAAGGCGACTGGAGGGGTGGGGGAAAAAGGATTATTGTGAATACACGCTAAATATATGGGACACTGTAAAATGTTTTCAATGCTAAGAAATATAGCACAGGAAACTAAGATGACTTACTGTTGGTCCGTCGGGGATTCGAGAAACGCTTTGTGAGGCTTTGGGGGAAAGTGGGGATGGGATTGCAGCTGAGTGAGTTTAAGGCAAAACAATACGAAACCTGTCAGAAATCCCCAGAATTGTGGCCATAGAATTTAAAGGACATTTCAAAGCGCCAGGAGTGGGTTAGTGCTGAGGAATCTTAAGTAGGCTCTGTGGGCAACAAGGAACCCCTGAAAGCTTTTAAGCAGAGACGGGTTCTGGGATATTTTCAAATTGCATAGATTACTCTGGTTTTACAATTTAAAAGATAGAAGATAAGACAAACATCACAGTCTAATAAGTGGTGAAGGGTCCGAGAGATACTACAGGATCCTTAAGGCACACACCTTGCATGTGGCAACCTAGCTGGGTTCCTGACAGCATGAACACCCTCTCTCCTGCCACCCCAGTATAGCTGGGGTATAGCAGGTCCCCCAGAGAACATCCGGGTGTTGTTCTGGAGGCCCCAGGGATAGGGGATAGGGTATCCATTCAGGCTGCTGTCTTTGTAGTTAAAATCCACCGAGGTAGAGATTATGTGAGCTAGAGCATCCCCTGAACCTCCCTTGATAGACAATTGGAAGATCAGTGCTCACTGCTCCAAAGAACTTTGCAAACTTAGCACCATTTTCTGCCCTAGCTTTATGCCAGCCACCAAGTAAAAGCCTTGCTAAAAGAAATTAAGTTTAATATTTCTTAATAGTTCTCTTTGTTCTGTCTGAGCTAGTTTATAAAACCCTTTGTGTATATTGCTTCTTCCTTTCCTGAGGGCAGAGCATCTCCTATGATCTCTCGTGCCTTTCTAGACTTACGTCTTTATCTTATAACTCGCTGTCTCCATGTTGTTCTTTAATATCTGTGCATTCAATCCTCTCTGACAATGGTGGCAAACTCTGTTCTATCTCTGTTCTCTCTTCTATCACCGAGCACAACTGGAGTGGCCCTGATAATCCCTGGCATAGCAGGATCTGAGCAGCAATGTATCCTTGGGCCATAGCGTGATACTGCGGGCCAGATTGCTGAGAATCACAGAGACCCTCTGCGCACTAGTTGAGAGCCACCCTCTTCCAATGAGAAGGGATGATTTAAGTGGGTATTGACAATAGGGATCAAGAAAGTAGGAATGAGCCCTGCAAACGACAACTATGATGTTTACATATGAGGCCAGTGACAAGACCAACAAAGTGTCTCCCAAGGAAGCAGCTGCACAATTCTGATGAACAATTCTGCCTGTTAAATGATGGAATAACTATCCTGGCTTGGTTTGGCTCTTTTCTTCCACAGTAAAATTATTAAACTGCCAATTATTAAACTGCCCCTGATTCTACATTAAAACCTCGCTTGTACCCTCTAATGGACACACCACCAAGTTTACGTTGTCCATCTCAGTGTATCAGTAATTAGGGTTCTAGAGTTCAGGGTCGGATGGTCTATTGGAAACTCAAGACTTAACTCTCTGATCTCCAGTAAATTATGGTGCTCTCTAGTCCTTAACTTTCTCATCTGTAGAAAATCAAGATGGTAGTCTCCAAACGTATGCTGTATGTTTCCATCATGATTAGCAATCATGTTCCCAAAACATTATTGTGTCACCATCATTATCATCATTATGGGTGTCAAAACTTCCCAAGCTCTTAAAGAGTAGGTTAAGTACTTGCCCTTTTTGTACTCGCAGATGTATTCTACCCTAGTTTCTAAGACCTGTCACACTCTAATGCACTGTGTTGCCTTCACAGGGGTTGCACAAAATCTGAAATTCTTAAAGGGATGTTTAGCAATTAGAGACCTAAACTAGAGAATATCCTCAGTGGCTGAAATATAGTATGCAAATCAGGTTTGCTGATTCCTGTGAGTCAGACTGAGAATTGCTGTCATTCAGGAAGCATCAGTGTTTGGTAATATTTCTTGCGAATTACACAAAACTTGCACACCAGAATAATACATGACACTATCATCGTGGAAGATACACCTCATTTTAAAAGTTATATTTTATTAATTTAATAAATTAATTTTTTGCCTGGGGGCTAACCACTAGCTACTCCCAGTAATGCAAAACATGTGCTCCAGTACCTTAACTCATCTCCCCAGCCCCTATTTTGTTTGATTATGGCTCAGAAATTCATCTAAATCTCCTTTTATAGTAATTAGAGATTTATTTTCAACCATTAACAACTGAATTCATTTTTATGAACAAGCTGAAATTGTTCAAGTTAATTTCATTATGGATATTACTCTGAAAGCCAGTTTTATTTCTTAATGATAGGTACCGTCATTTGAAGTTGATAAATTATCAGGTACAAATAAAGTATGTAGAACTGGAGGGATAGTACAGAGATTACGGTGCTTGCTTTGCAACAGTCAGCACCACATATGATCTCCAAGCACCACCAGAAGTGATCCTGAACAGTCAGGAGTAAAGCCCTGAGCACTGCTAGGTGTGCTCCTCCCCATCCAAGTGATAATAATAACTACAAATTGAATATGAAGATAGTTTGTTATGAGATTCCAATAAATAGAACAAAAGTATCTCTTTTGGAACCACACACTTCTTCCAAGAAGTTCTCAGGACCCTTGTGGACACTTCCAGAGATACCTGGCCAAATGAGCTGGACAGTTTAATGCTTGGGCCCAGTGGTGCTAAGGATCATGAGGGCACATGAAGAAGGACTCGGGCCCCCAGGATTACCTCCAGCAGTGGTCAGGGGGGCATGTAGTGCCAGGGATCAAATTCAGGGCTTACATATAATCTGATATGAGTTCCAGAACCTTGATCTAGCTCTCCAACCCTAACAAAGGTATCTTTATTCTGCAACACATTTTATACTTTATGGTGCCTGGAATACATTATCTACTTATTTTTGAATATATGTATGTGTATATATATATGTATATTTCAGTCCTGCCATGTGAGGAAATTGCCTAACTTTTAAATTTTATATTGTCAGTAGAAAATAGAAAACTTTAAAAAGTTAAAGAAAAAAGTTTACCTACATGATTTACATAATGTAATAAATTATGTTACTCCAAATTGAACCCACCTATATAAAATGACCACAGAAGGATCTATAATACATTTTTCATTTTTCACAAGCCTAAGAGAGAGCAAGGAAATTGCCAGATTAGGACACTTCCAATTAACCAGCTTTTTTCTTCTTCTAGTAGTAAACAGTAGTAGGGTTCATTCAACGACCAATGCAGAAATTCTCCGAAAAGATTTTTTATTTTTCATTTATCATCAACATCAGTCTCCAAATTTATAATTAGCTCAGATCTCCTATTATCTCACTTCTTCCTGTAAAATTTAAAGTAAATCATTGATGTGGTTTTTTTCTGTTCGGTTATCTCTTTCCTTCTAGAAGACTATCCCATGGATGGTTTCTGGTCTAAAAATCAGACCCACATCATCAATGAAACTAAATATTTAGGTTATAAATCCTATCATGAGGCTAAATTCTCATCGGATCCTGGGATGGGTGGTGGCTTTCTCTCATTGAGGACACAGCAAAGGTTCGGAGAGCTTGTCCAATGGATCAGTTTTGAAATTCCTGGTACATTTTTTCTCGTAAATATGCAAGAAAATATGCAAGTGGGTGGTCTCAAGTAATCTCCAACACAGTGATATGCCAAGGACTTCATACACTTTTTATATTACAGTGATAACAAAATAGCAAGACCAAGTTCTTATATAATATATATTAATATGAAAATGCATACAAATTGATATCTGTAGAGTTGATTTAAAATTTTCTTTCAAGGTCCGTAGAGCTAATGTAGTGGAGTGGGAGGGCATGCTTTACATGTAGGAGGCTTGAGTTCAATCTCTGGCACCATATGGCTCCCTGAACATGGTCAAGAGCAACTCCTGAGCACAGAATCAGAAGTATCCCCTGAACACTAACAAATAATCATTTTTTTCTTTTTGGGTCACACCCAGCGATGCACAGGGGTTACTCCTGGCTCTTCACTCAGGAATCACTCCTGGCGGTGCTTGGGGGACCATATGGGATGCTGGGAATCGAACCCGGGTTGGCCGCGTGCAAGGCAAACGCCCTACCTGCTGTGCTATCAGTGCTCAGAGCTTACACCTGGCTCTTCACTCAAGGTTCACTCCTGGTGGGTCTTGGGACCCCCCAATGGGGTTCCAGAGACTGAACCCAGTTCGACCACATGCAAGGCAAGCACCATATCTACTGCGCTATCACTCTGGCCCACAGTGATATTTCTTATTGCTGGATATTTTGTGTGTCTAATGATAATCTCACTGTCATTGTCACTGTCCTCCCATTGTTCATC